CCCCCAAACTATATTCAATATTTTCAGAGTTTCACATATCCAAGGGGCTTTCAGAAAGGAATGAAATTTGTTATCTACCTTGATAGGTAAGAATTATGAATGTAGACAAAATATGAATAACTGAAGCAGATGATGTTTATATTTTGATCATTATACAATAGATAGAGGATATTGATTTAATACTAAATTTATTAAATGATTTGGATAGAATCTTATTTGACACCCCAGAAGTAAAAAACCCATGACAAAACCACAAAGATTCATGCTCACCAAATTAAGTTAACTCACAGTAATTTTGTGGATCAAATCACATTAGAAATTTTACATTTATCATCAGAATAAAGGAAAGATTCATTGTATGTGACAGAAAATAATTTTTCTTTAGTGTTTCAAATAAACAGGTTTTATCTATATAATTATGCTTTTCGATGTATTATTGAAAAAATATCAGTGAGGTGTAAGTCATATCACACTGTTAAAAACTTAGTGAGATGTATAATATCAGTTCCATTCTATGCATTGAAAGAAATGGCAAAGAAGAATTTAAATGTTTAAGTCAGCAACAACCTTTATCTATTTTGTAAGTGTCAAACTAGTTTAAAGTGACACTATGCTCATTTTTCCGCTGTCAGGATGAAAAGATTGGCTATAATTATAGTGATTGACCAATGATTGATTCTGAAAAAAAGTGTGTGATACAATATCAAAACTTCCTTAATTAAGAAAGACTGTCTCATCTTTTTTAAGAATTAAGCGTAATCAATATTTTTATAGAAATTTTAGTCAGTCACATGGATTATTGATTATTTTTTCATAGTTAAAATTAAAATTGAACACAATTACATAAAACATCAAGTTATTTTTAGAAAATTCCCTGCTCACTCATAATTTACATTTGGATGGGCATAATGTCAATTTAATTGAAAAACTATTGGAAATAGTGTGAAACAAGTTGAGATATATTGTTTGCTTTTAGTAAACATGGAACATATACCACTTCAATGAGAATTTTGTTTATATTTTCACTTGTGTTTTATGCTTTTGAGCTCATGAAAATATTTTTTTAAAAATTGCCTCTTTTATTGTAATATTCCCTATTCACTAAAAAAAATCAGCAAATATATTTTTCAACTACACATTGAACAATTTGTGGCTGTAAATACATTTCAGTGAGAAGGCATTTGCAGAATGTGTTGTGGTTGAGGTATACCCAGGCGGGAAAAGTTTGGCTCTTGAGTACTCCCCTAAGGATCGAACATCAAACTTGACTGTTTGTGTGATGACAACATCATCTGCGTTCAGTTTCTCGGAATATGACAATGATCAGTCTGTAGTCATTCCTTATGAAACAAGAAGTGAGTTTTTTTATGTGTACAATTTTCAGGGTTTTTTATTCACTTGACAGAGCAATATAATTTTACCCTTAAAGCAGCATGCCTTCAGACTTGTGCTTATTTTCATGATTTAGCCGAGGCAAATTTTCCCTTTCCCAAAACTTAAAAAGTTGATATCTTGTCGTCAATACAAATCCTGACAGCAGACTCTTTTTACAGTCATCAGTCTGTGCCTCAAAGGTCTACTTTAATCAGTGTGCCATGACACATTTTATAAATAGATTCAGAGATTGAAATTATGTATTTCAAACTGCGGGGAATATTTTGAAGGGAGGTAATGTTTATTTGTGTTATATGCTTTTGAGATTTTATACAAAACAAGTAACATATCAAACAACCCTTGTATATTTTTTGAGTAACATGTATGTATCTTTTTTAACACAGAACTTTGGCAACTTTCTGCTTAAAATGATTTGAGACTAATAAAGGTATCTACAGGAAACTTGGATTTTTTTTTATGTTAACAAACAGTCATTATTATAAAGACCCAAGATGCTATTCTGAAAGCAATATTTTTAGGAGTTATGCCTCTTTTTGACTTAGATGATTTGTAAAAATTGAATATTGATAGAAAATTTTGAAAAATTAGGAAAGATATTGTACTTATTCTTGGCATACTTCATTATGAGGACAAGGTACATCTGTAAGACAATGGACATAAGTAAGTGATCATTGTTTCTAGTTTTTAGTTGTTGCCTATAACAGATATATCAGATATGGGTAGAAATCTTCTTTATTACATAACATAGCTTTTTTAGGACCATTGATACTGCTTTTTCTTCGTTTTGCAGGCTTGTCTGGCTTTATGTTTAGTGATGACATAAATCTTTTATTATCCTGAAGATCAAAGCATACTCCTTGTACATACTTTCATTTATTTCAGACACGCCATCAAATCTCACCAGGACGTTTGTCAATGCTCCACCATACCTTCTATCTGAGGTAAAACCACTTTTACAAGTTGCTCTTCAATCCACTTATTTACTACATTACATAAAAGTTTAATCTGAGTAATATTGTTGAGATTATATGACACATTCTAAATTGTTTTTTAGCAATCAGGAAAGACCATTTAGGTCCAATGCATTTACTCAAGCACTAACCAATGTCTGGTTTGAGTCTCTGGTGTTTTATACAATGATGATGACAAATGATGATGATGATGACAACTTGGTGATGGTGATGATGATGATAAGGGTGATGATGATGGATGAAGGGTGATTTAAAAAGCATGATGATGTTGACTATGATGATTTGATTATGACTATAATTTCATTTTAGTTTTTGTTGAGATTGTACCTTTGAAGGTTAGGTTTATTATAAAAGTCTAACTTTGGTAAGAATTGGCGCTTTTGTTGTAAAGATGTCAATGCTCTACAGAAGGCAGCTCAATAAAGGTTTTGCTGTATTGTTATCACTATTTTTTTCAATGTAACACATTCAGATGTGCTCATACACAATTCCTAAGTGAAGGGCATATTAAATTTTGAACAACTTGTTTACAGGGAGCTAAGAAGGCATTGCCAGCATTGTACCCTGAATGGAAGGCCAACATGCTGAAATCCATGGCTGATTGTTCACAGGTGTTTACCAGATTAACAGGTAAGTTTACAATAACAATTTTTATGTTAACTTCAGACAAACAATATTAAAACAACACTACAACACATTTCACATAATATTGACATTAAATAAGCATAATATTCCTTTATTCAATGAGCTCAATTAATTAAGTATTGAATCTACATGTATATAATATTATATTTATCACATATCCAAAATAAGAATGCTTTACCATTAAAAAGTAGGTGCGTTGATAGTGTAATGCTAACAATAGTGTGCTTAAATGATCTATGTTTGTATGTTTGTAAAGCAAACTGATGTCACTTCATATGTTTATTGCATGTTAGCCAAATGTGTCAAATTTCGTATCCAACCCTCAAATAGAGAAAAGGGATACATTCAATGTGTTTTTAACATTTGACCTGCAGTAACCAAAAGTTATTAGCCTTTACCACCAGTATAGATCCAAACAAGTCTGCACAGATTTATTATCTGCACATTTTTGTATACTTTTCATAGCTTTTTGGTGTTTTTATGCTGAAATCCTTTTAACTTTAACTTGACTGTCCCAAACTCAAAACAGGGCAAATCCATTACACAAAGTCAGCAGGATAAGGGCTAAAGTTAAAAAATATTACAGTGAGTACACTCAGTTACTTTTATTTGATTTCAGTGCAGGAACACAACATTGCACAGGCAGCAAAGAACTTGATGCATTGGTACCCAGAGAGTTACAATGGGCACTTGTTTACGTTCTTACCGAGTCAGTTAACCCAGTCAAAACTGGTTTATCCTCAACCGGAACAGATGTTCTCCAACGTGTCCGTCCATAGACTGTGTTTTGCCGAGAGTAAGTATGTTTTCTTATATCTGAAATGGCAACATTAGCAGTGGTTTTTCTAACTTAATTGGGAGGAGGCCTAATTAAGCCATGCACTTAAATTTGGGATAAAAATATTGCACAAATTGCTTATTTGGGAAGAAAACAGTGGTTTAAGTCCAGATTTTTGGGAAAACTGAATGATTTTTAAAGAAAATTTTGATTGGGAAGAGACCTTTTATAGACCTCTGTTTTAAAAGGTGAAGAATCACTGAATAGATTCATTGCCCCCTCACAATGGAGTATCTTGCAAGGAATTTTTGATCTTACAAAAACTTTTGATTCTTTTGTGCAAGATAGCTATCAATTTAGCTTTAAGAAGGTTAATGGTTCAACCTCTTGTATCTGAAATTACTATAATATCCAATACAAGACTTAAAAACCCAGGAATAATAAAGATTAGTTTGCTTGTATGAATCTTAAATGCAGCATTTGTTTATTTTTTTTTTATAAATTTTGTTCAATATAATATGTCAAATGCCATTTGTTGTGTAAAATATGCAGACAGGTTTCAAGTTGTTTATGTGGAGAAGTTAACAGTACCTTGTGGAGAAAGTTGGTTAAATTCTTGTGGAGTTCCTTCAAAAGTTACATGATAATAACATTTTCTAAATTCTAATTTTTTATGCCTTCCAGATGAGCTGTTACTGTCCTCAGGTTACCATGATCAAACCTTGTTTGAGATGCCGCTAAAATTAGCCTTACATTATGTAGACATTCCTGGGATACCTCCGGATAAATCTTTACCAGTGGACGTCCTATTTGGAGAAGGTCTGAACGTGTGGACCTATGTTGCTCTTATAGCCACCAAGGTATGTATATCTGGTTAACAAATACAGCATATAGTTTATAATGCTGGAAGATCCATATTCAGATCCTACTGCAGACTTTAGATTTTTTTCTGATACTTACAATGTTTCTTCGAAATTTTCTGATATAGCCCTAGGGCTTTGGAATGGTACCATGCGTTAAAAACAGTCCTCTATGAACAGGCTTAAAGCCACCCTGCTATATTTTCAATTTGGTCTTATATACTCATATTGGGTAACCATGATCAAACCTTGTTTGAGATGCCGCTAAAATTAGCCTTACATTATGTGGACATTCCTGGGATACCTCCGGATAAATCTTTACCAGTGGACTTGGGAATGGTACCATGCGTTAAGAACAGTCCTCTATGAACAGGCTTAAAGCCACCCTGCTGTATTTTCAATTTGGTCTTATAAACTCATATTGGGTAACCATAGAGAATAAGCATGAGCAGCCTTTGTCACCAGTATAGAGCCAAGCAAGCCTACACATTTGTGCAGTTTCACCATACTCTATACCGTTGGCTGTCTTACTTTCTATTTCTGTCTTGTTATCCTCAAAACTAATAATGGACAGTTCCAAAAATTGAAGATGGACAAGTCCATTTAAGAAATTAAGTAGGATAAATTTCAGGTAAATCAAAAACTTGATTTATTTCAGCTGTACCTGCCTTCTTATAAGAAGATGATACCTGATGACTCGGGAAAATTTTCACGCGAACAAATAGAACAGGTTCTATACAACATGCTGCAGACATATACCTCGCTGTGTGGGATATATGCGGCATCATGGGGTGGCATACAGTACTCACAGATGAGCGAAGTTCGCGACGTACGTAGAGCTATTCAACATGAGGATAAATATCTTGTGCAACTTACTCAAGCTCAGCAGTTTGACCCCCACGTGCTCATTCAAAAGGGAGATTTTGCAATATGTAAAGCACATCTGATGAATTATGGGATTAGTGATAACGAAAATCTCTATTTCAAAGATGAAGTAGAATTCAAGTATCAGTTCTTCGAGCCATATATTGATCATGTGACCTTATTTTTATGGTGTCATGAAGAGTTGAAGCAGCTACCAGAGGATTTTTTCAAGCGATTTGCAAATTTGATACATTTCAAACTCGGGGAGTATGGTACAATTATGTCCAAGTTCAAGAAGCTTCCGGAAGGCATTGGTTCAGCAAAAAAACTGAGGGTAAGTCAAAAATAGCATTAATATTCTGTAAATTTTACATCATTTATGATGTCTATGTTAAAACATTGTACTTTATTTACCCAGTTTTTTTCAATGCCCACTCCCCAATTCCAAAGTTGGGGGAAGGCATATTATTTTTGTGGCATCTACTCATCCACACTTTGCGTCAGTTGTTGATGGATTTTGAAATGATTTTGCATACCATGTGTAACATGATGAAACAATAAGTTGCATATTAGTATAAGACCCAAGGATCAAAGGTCAACGTCACACTTTGACTTTCATGGAAATTTTTCATGCATAGATGTCTGTGTCCAGTCAACAATTCTGGCATTCCTGCACATATTTTAAAATTTATTTCCATAGATGTTTTGGAAAGTGCATTATTAGACTTGTCCTGTTCATATCTTTGCCATTCATTGACAAATTTTAAAATAGCTTCGCTTTTGTAAGTGGTACTTAAAAAGTGCAAAACAAATTTGCTGCTTAAAGGTCAAGGTCACCCACTCTATATTAGACTTTTATGATGATTTCATAAAAGTGTTCAGCTATCACTCCTGTCATTCATGGATGGATTTTGAAATTGGCGGGGTTGCACAGGTGCAAACCCGGGTTATAGTATGGTGAATGTTGGGCGGCGGGCGGACGGCGGGTGGCGGGCGGGCAGGGAAAAAAACTTTCGTAACAGTTTTCTCAGCAGTAACTTATCACAGCCTCTTGATATTTGGCATACAGCATTAACATGTGGTCCCATAATAAAGGATTTGATTTCAGGTCTGTCGCTCATCCACTTCCTGTTTGCCAACTTCGTTAAATTTTCAACATTAATGGTCAAATTAGTAGGAAATTTTCGTAACAGTTTTCTCAGCAACTACTTATTACAGCCTCTTAATATTTGGCATACAGCATAAACATGTAGTCCCATAATGTGGGATTTGGTTTCAGGTCTGTCACTCATCCACTTCCTGTTTGCCGACTAAGTTAAATTTTCAACATTAATGGTCGATAGTAGGATATTTTCGTAACAGTTTTCTCAGCAACTACTTATCACAGCCTTTTGATATTTGGTATACAGCATTACAACATGGTCCCATATTGTGGGATTTGATTTCAGGTCTGTCGCTTATCCACTTCCTGTTTCCAGACTTAGTTAAATTTTCAACATTAATGGTCAATATTAGGCAATTTTCGCAACAGTTTTCTCAGCAACTACATATCACAGCCTCTTGATATTTGGCATACAGCATTAACATGTAGTCCCATAACGTGGGATTCGATTTCAGGTCTGTCGCTCATCCACTTCCTGTTTGCCGACTTAATTAAATTTTCAACATTAATGGTAAAATTAGTAGGAAATTTTTGTAACAGTTTTCTCAGCAACTACTTACCACAGCCTCTTGTGGGTCACAGCATTTACATGTGGTCCCATATTGTGGGATTCTATTTCAGGTCTGTTGCTCATTCACTTCCGGTGTAACAACTTAGTTAAATTTTCAACATCATTGGTCAGTGGTCCAAAATTTAAGTAACATCACAGCCTCATGATATTTTGTATACATATGCAACCTGGCCTTTTCTGTCTTTGACCCATTTTTTGGTGACATATTGTGAAGAAGTGTCAGGAGCAGATCCCAGTTTGACAGTTAAAAAGGTGAAGGTTATACTTAATATTCTATTACATTTTACTGCTTACTTTTTAATAATTATGTTTTGTGACATGAAAGAGTTGGTAAAATTCTGGGCAGCAAAGGGTATGTTTATTTTTCAAATTTTCAGTATGTTGAAATATATGATGTTGCCATGGAGAAACTGCCAGATGACATCTTCATGGGGAAGAATGTTGAAACATTGCTGTGTTCGAACCTTCCGGTGAAAACATTACCAACACAGTGGCCAACAGAGAGCAAGGTGAAAATAACATTTCCTAATTAAAAATAACATTTCCTTAATTGATATTAACATTTCCTAATTGATATAAACTTTTCCTAATTGATATAAACATTTCCTAATTGATTAATTGAGGTCTTGCTTGAATTAAGGTGTTGCTTGAGTCAAGATGACTCTAAATGTCAACTTTGTCCCCCCATTGAACTGAATTATTGTAGAGAGGAATTCTGAAGTACTCACTTGTCTTTGCATGATAAGCGCATAATCCCTGTTTAGAGCATTGGATTTCAAAGATTTTCAAAGGATTTATTGACATTGTCTGTTAAGAAAAATTGATTTCTAAAAATAGTTAAATTTCCTTCTTATTTGATGCATTTTATGTTATCATGTGATATACTGTGTGCAAGTGATATATTGTAATATAAAAAGACATCTCATCTTTGAAAACAAGCATTTAGTAAGTAATTTAAAATAAAATGCTTATTAATTTGACCCTACTAAATTTGTGGAACGCTTTGAACATCAATATATTTCTGTTTGAAGTACCCCAGCTGATATACATGTATGTAAGAAATTCAAATTTTATGTTTTTAGGCTTTTGGATCACAGTGGAGTTCTTTTAACATTTACTGTGCTTCATAAGTAGGGTTAATGGTAAAATTTGTCTTATTGTGCTTCATAAGTAGGGTTAATGGTAAATTTTGTCTCATTTCAGCTGAGTAAACTCTCCTTATGTGGGCTGTTGATTGACAAGTTACCAGAAGAGATAGGTCAACTGAGTGAGTTAAAGGAGTTTGACCTCTGTCGTAATCCAATCACAGATCTTCCTGGTGCTCTACAGAAACTGAAAAAACTCACATTTCTTAGTTTACAAGGTAAAGAAATGTTAAAAAAGTCTGACAATAACATGTAAATTATATTTTCAAAATTTATTTATGCCTTTCGTTTGATAGCTTCATCAGAACGATAATTATCTATCTAAAACGTATCAGAAACTTACAGTATACTAATAAAATGAAAGATGTACCACAATATGTATTCATATACCTGGAACTACACAAAAGTAAGCGTGAATTCTATATGAATGGATAGCATTCAACACTTAAGTGTGCAATGCTATGTTATGCTATGTAATGCTATGCTATGCTATGGTATGCTGTTCTTACTATGCTATTCTGTTCTGTGCCATTCTGTGCGTTTTCTATGCTGTTCTATTATCAATCTGTGTAAATATATGATTTGCTGTGTATTCTTGGATTTAGGGTGCCCGCTGCTTATTCTTGAAGGAAAACGTACATCAGTTCGTACAACACACCCACAGTTTGAGCACTGGTATAGTCAGAACCCCTACATTCGTTATAAGCTTGGATTCGATGTAAGTCTTTTGCTGCTTTATTTCTCATTCACCCATTTATTTGGATTTTTGAAAAAAGGAGGGTTGGGACGGGAGGGGGGGGGGGGGAGGGTTTCGATCCCTTGGCAGGAGATCACGAAACAAGGTCAAAAAACTGGGAATATGGCATGTATGACTTGCCTGCTGAGATCAAAACATAGAAAGCATTGAAGTTGTAATGCAGGGATGCTTGTTTGATCCTCTTAATTGCAATTTCTCTGTGACTAGTGATCTCTGACATTGAGTCTAATGATGATTTCTTTTTCACTGCTGATACACAAAATCATGTGAAATTAATAGTCATTTGAGGAGAAATTGGTAATTTCTTGTAACTTTTCCAGGAAAGTCGGTGAGATGAACTAATTGACTAGATTTTACCAAAAACATGTTAAAATTGATGTTTTCCCAACTAATCATTCATCTGGTTGTAGAGTATAAAACTTGTAACTGGTGTGTTTGTAATCAGCAATCAAATTGCTTACATTTTACTGTAATTATAATATCACCAAAGTGCAGAATGGTGTTTGTGATTTTTTTAAAAAGCAAGCGGATAATAGCTTTGTATAGTCATGGCTAAACCCTATTTAAAATAGTTGTTGAATAATTGGTTATTGTAGTCTAGTACTGGTGTAACTCTCCAGGAACGATGGTTAGGAAACTACCCGCCTATATGACTGAAATACTGTTGGGAAAAGGCGTAAAATTAAACAAACAAACAAACAAAATTGGTTATTGTAAAATAGTCATTGAATTATTGGTTATTGATAAATAATTCTCGAATAATTGGTTATTATAAAAAAAGCTGTTGAATCATTGGTTGTTATAAAATAGTTGTTGAATAATTGGTTATTGTAAAATAGTCATTGAATGATTGAAAATAGTTGTATAATGAGCCGCATCATGACAAAACCAGCATAATGGGTTTGCGACCAGCATGGATCCAGACCAGCCTGCGCATCTGTGCAGTCTGATCAGGATCCATGCTGTTCGCTTACAAACCCTATTACAAGTAGAGAAACTGATAGCGAACAGCATGGATCCTGATCAGACTGATCCATGCACTATGTTGGTTTTGTCATGACGCGACTCAAATAATTGGTGAACAAAGTATCACTCTGCAGAATTTGCTCTATAACTGAAAACAAAAACCAAAAGAAGAAAATAAGACAGCAAAAGAGATAAAAAAAGATGTAAAAATACCTTTTAATTTTCTATTTTAACAAAACTTGATATTGATTGTTACATTGGAACTCATCAAGTATAAAATAAGTGGATACATATTGAGCGTGTTTTTTTTTTTGCCAGGACAAAGACAAGCTTTTTGGTGTATTTGATGCAAATCACAATGGAAGTCTGGATGAAGAGGAGATTGCAGCGCTAAATTTAGAATTCTTCTTCAAAGTTCCTCGTCTTGGTATTACAGACATCAGTGAGTAATCTTTGGGCTTAATAATGCAATAATAATAAAAAAAATAATAGAAAGTAATGCAACTTTGTAAGTTGGTTCTAATATAATTCCTGTAACAAGGAGTTGTTATGGTGGTGTTGGTAGTTTTCACTCCGGATCATGGCAAAAATAAAAAAGTCTACTCATCTTGGCTTTAAAGTTATAATAGATCCTTAAATGTAAGTGATTGCTGTTGTTGCTGCTGCTGCATTTTGTTGTGTCATCAACAGTGTACATTATATGTGATCATGAACATAATGCTACTTTTGTTAAAAAAATTTATTAAGCATCGCAAAAAATAAGCTGCTTAAGTCTTTGTTCTTATTTCTTTTATGTGTATGAATTAAAAATGACAGATTTGTTCTATTTTTAGATGATGAGGTGACTGGTGGTATACCTCCAGTGGTTTTCAATTTGAAGAGTCTTGTTGAACTTCATTTGGAATACAACGCCATCACTATGGTACCACAGGCTATCAACAACCTGTCAAACTTGAAACTGTTGGGTCTCAGTCATAACCCACTGTTAGAGTCCCTGCCAGGATCTCTTGGACATTTGCCAAATATTCAAAGTAAGTTGATTTTAGTCACCTCCTATTTCACAGGGTAAGAAAAATATGCAGCCTGACCGGGACTCGAACCCTGGACCCCTGTTTACCATCTCCCCTAAAGGTCTGAACTGTGACAGAATCACTCTCACAAGTTATTTTAAATCATTTCTTTTCCATTTCGTAAACAATGATAGTCAGTAATCTGCATAAGTATTGCAAAAAATGGTTTCTTTATGCAGTATTTAAATATGATTTTATATTACTTAAATTTTTTCTTAATAAGTTGGTAATTTAATCCCATGGGGTATTTTTTTAATGGATAGTGTACAATGCAGAGGAGAAAAAACTCCCATGGGATTATTTATTAATGGAAAAAGTACTACCCAGAGGAGGAAAAACTAAGATGGGATTGAGAAAGTACTACCCAAAGGAGGAAAAACTCCTATGGGATTTTTTATTAAAACCCAAAGAAGGAAAATCTCCCATGGGATTATTAATTAATGGGAGGAGAAAACCTCCCATGGGATTATTTATTATACCTAGAGTTAATGGAGAGGAGAAAAATCTCCCATGGGATTATTTATTAAACCCAGAGGAGAAAAAATCTCCCATGGGATTTTTTTATACCAAGATGAGAATAACCTCCCATGAAATTACCAACATGCATTTTGTGTGCTTGTTACCATATGGAGAATTCCAAGATTATAAAGTTGATAACACCTAGAATATTACCTTTATAGATGTGTTAGAGTTTGTGTATCTCCTGACTATCACTAAAATACATTTATCCATTGTTATAATTTATCTTATTTTAGTCATACAAACCATTATAAAGGTTTAAAAGAAAAAAGAAAACACATATCTGGAAGGGTGCTGCTTGAAGAGTATTTGATAATCTTTAGATTAGATTTTAAACTTTGAAAGTTTGGTACTTTTAAACACACAAAAATTGTGTTACTTTTGTAGAGATTAGTCTTACAAGCTGTCCAATGCTGCGTACCCCACCGGCTGAAATTGTTGGCCGTGGTTTCCAGTCAGTGAAAGCCTATTTAAAGAGACTGGCTGGAGGTTTTACAGAATGTCGCCGGACCAAACTCATGGTGGTCGGTTTAGGAGGAGCTGGTAAAACAAGGTAATGTCATCTGCCCAACATTCAGAACAGGAAATTTCTGATTTTGACTTAGTTTTTTGTTTTATTCCGAACACTTCTTTACTTGTGTGTATGATAGTTATAAATTCATTTGTCAGAATAGCCTGTGGGACATCCTTGACTGTTTAATACGAACAATCGATTTTGCTACCCTTGAAACGAACTGTGTTCTACTTTTACTTTTTGTTTCATATCAAATGTTTTGTAATATAGTTACGACTTATAAAATGTTGTCTGAAACTTTATCACTGCTATAATTGTCGACATTTTAATTTTTCAAAGATGTTTAATGTATATGTTTTCACAGCTGAACACTTTAATTGTATGAATTATTTCTAAGGAAAAATATCATTTTACTGTTAATCTGCAAAGAAAATATTTCTGAAACAATATGAAAATTAACATGTTGATTAATATTTAATGGTCTTGTCCTGATTGGAACAATATTTAATTGAAATCCAACAGAGCCTTAAAACTTCATAGAATGATCACCATCATTTGAAGTTATTATATCATCTATGTTTATTATGTATGTTACCTATAGTTTGTTACGAGCTTTGATGAGCGACAAAAAGAAGACTCAGGGAACCGAGAAGGAAATTCCTACAGATGGTATTGATATTGTACCATGGACCGTCTCCAACAGTGAGGGACAGGAAGTCACATACAGTACATGGGATTTTGCGGGACAGGCTGTGTACTATAACACGCATCAGGTATAACACAAGAAATTATAGCAAAAATTATGGCACAGAACTTCATTGATGGTATAAACATTATCTTGATGCACATATCTGCTTAATTGTTTAATCCATGTAGAATTATCATACAAATGATGGAATAGAGACAACATTTAATTTTTCAAAACCACATGTTAGCTTTATTTATTATATAAAGCACATCATCAGAAAGGCACATCAATGGAAGCACTATTAATAAAGAGGTACAAATCTCATTTTCTGTTATAACCACATGGTAGTACAGTACAAATAGTATTGAATATTACTCAGATCTTAATTAAAAACCAAAACTTTTATGAAGCACATAAAAAAATAAATCATTTCTTGTTTTCACACTATTTTTTTTTTCAATTTTGCATACAGTTTCAATTGAATTCAATTTCTTTTATAGGTAGTTTTTAGATCTATGACAAGTAGTCTGTGGTTTCAACAGATTTTATAATGTCAATTTTAATATAATTTTTGTTTTGCGTTCAACAGCATGTTAAATACATGTATAGCATATATTTTATTTGTGTTTTAGTTTTTCCTCTCCAAGAGAGCGGTTTACTTGTTGCTATGGAGTATGAGACAAGGTTACGAGCATGCAGGTCTCGATTTCTGGCTCAGTTCTATTTGTTGTCACGCACCAGGAACACCAATCATAGTTGTCGGAACACAGTGTGATCTGGTGAGTTATTTCCCTTTCAGTCAGAATTTGATTATACCCAGTAGATGAATTTAGACAAACATACACATGTAGCTATGAAGCTACAAAGTTTAAATGATAAAAATCATCAACTTAATTTGTTGATTTGAGTTAATAAAAAGACACTTTACACATCAAAATGCAATTATTTTTTATATATCATCATTGAAAATTAACCAAGGAAACTAAGTCTCAAAAAGCTGCCCTGACATTGATCATTTTGTTTCGATTTTTTGACTGGTATTCAAGTATAAAACACATAATGTGACTTATTATACATAAGAATTTGATGTGATACTATATTGTATTTGGAATAAGCATGGTAAAGTTCTGTATATGCATATGTGTTTTTTTTTCTTTTTTACTGATTCTTGGTTAAAATTACCTTTGGCTGAATGTATATTAAGTAAATAATTTTACAGATTCCCAAAGCTGAAATTCCGGAGAAAGAATTGATTGAGAGGTATCCACAAATTGCTAGTTTCCACAGAGTTAGTGCTATTGAAGGCACTGTAAGTTTGTTTTATATACATCACTACTATTTTGTTGTATTGCTCAAAATTTCCACCAAATTACTTTTTCCTTATATTACTTCTTTTAGCCATTATATATCACACTCCTTCTCATAGTTTCATCATTTAATGACTGATTTCTGAAATATTTGGTTTCTAAGTTCTTTTATCCTGCTACTGTCTATATTATCAGCTAGATAAAGCCTTGTCGGATAAACTTATCTATCTCCAATCATTACGTCATATGATGACGTCAACTGTTTAGCAGCAAAACAAAACTACATAGAGATGCTATGTTATCGGGGAAAAGTAAGAATGAAACCATTTTATTATTCTAAAAACATGATTAAAAGCAGGATAAATCAAATACATGGTTGATGTGGGGATGGAGAAGGTTTATCCGGTTCGCTTCGAAAGTGAATCTTGGCTCGCTAAAGCTCGCCAAGATACACTTTCTTGCTCACCTGATAAACCTTCTCCATTTCGACATCAACCGTGTATTCTCTATTTTTATGAAATTTTCTACATAATGTGAAGACACCTTTCCCCCTCCAACAAAACAATGACTGCAATCAGATTGCTATTTGTATGTTGTTTTCTGCTAACATCTAAGAACTTGTTGGTTTTTTTGTAATTTTCAGGGTATTGAAGCATTACAGAACAATCTGTTAGATGTGACGTTACAACAAGGTTACATGGGAGAGAAAATCCCTCAAGTGTGGCTCAACTTCGAGAGAAGAATTATTGCGTAAGTCATGAATACTTATATGTAACCCAACAAGATTTACAAGTTTAAGCAAATTATTTTATTTTCGATTTCTTTATAAACATGCTCAGAAAACTTATATAAATTAACGTTGAGTCAGCTGCATGGTTATAACCAGTGCTGGTATCATATGAAGCTATGTGGTTGTGAAACAAGTAGGGCATGAACCAACAATTGCCTGTGTTGAGAGGTAGAGGAACTTGACAATATCACCAATGCTATTCTTATGTTATATAAATAAATGAATTATCAAACATTCATTATAAAAGAAGTTTACTAAGCAAGTATAAAGTGTGTATGTTTTAAATGAACAATACTAAAGCCTGACTGCACAGCAAAGCAGAGAGAAAAAGATTTTTTTCTGCTAATGCGTTGTTCTATAAAGGTTAAATAAGATATTGTTAAGTCTTACATTGGGAAGAAATTTTGCTGTCTGCACTACAGTTGGCTGCTCCTCAGAAATTACACAGTTCATAGAATTAGTTTTCCTTTAGTTTTAGGTTAGACAATATTGTATTTTCATCTTACAGATGTACACAGTTTGAAATATAATTATGAATCTGAAACGCTAGAAAAATGTTAAAAAAATTGGAAAGCTGCTTCAAAGACTCAGACTTAGGGTTTGCAAAAAATATAGTTTGATGTAGAGTTTGTTCATATTTACATTGAAAAAATCCACACCAGTACATGAAATGTGCAATTTAACCACAGATAGAGAATCAAAGAATTAAATGAACAATTATGACGTATTTTTAAAATATTTATATTATATTATAATATGTTGATTATTTAAGTGAACGTTTCACAAAGAAGAACTATATTAAGTGGGAGGTTGCCCGTAGTTACGCAATGGAGCAAGGTATATATGATGAGAAAGACGTACGTATGGCGATACAACTTCTACACGATCTGGGTACTGTTCAGTATTTTGATAACGATTTCTTGAGGGACTATGTAGTCATCAATCCACAGTGGATAGTTAATGTTATGGCCTGTGTTGTGTCAGCACAAGACTCACCTATACAGGTAAAACTGTTTGAAATGTCATTTTGTGATTTAAATAAGTCTCCAATACACATTGAGGACTATTACTTTATTATGTCCTCCTTGCATGGTTTTGAACATATTATTTGCTCCATTTTTTAAAAATGATGCAATTGTCATGACCTGCTTGTCAGCATTTGGGGATTGTTTACTTTTATGGCAAGATTCGTTTTCTCAGAAACTGTCAAAGCTGTTCATTTCAAAAGTGAACCATGCTGTGAAGTTGGCAGGTCTTGTTGTACAAAGCTTCTAAAAAGGTAGCTTGTGTTAAGTCCTACAAAAGCAGTTACATATGCAATTTTTGCAAAGCATGATTTTATTGTACTTTTTTTTACAGAAAAACAATGGTAGATTTCTGCACAGTGATATTCCTACTGTATGGAAGGAATATGATGTTGACCTACATGAATGGTTGCTTCGGCTGACTGAAGACTTTGATCTGACATTTCCACTTCCCAAGGAACCAGTTAATATTGTTCCATGTCTGTTACCAGGGGAACCACCTGAAGATGTACGAACTGTTTACTTACTTTATTTATAATTGAGCCACGTCACAACAAAACCAACATAGTGCGTTTGCGACCAACATAGTGCGTTTGCGACCAGCATGGATCCAGACCAGCCTGCGCATCCGTGCAGGCTGATCAGGATCCATGCTGTTCGCTTACCAACTCTATTACAAGTAGAGAAACTGATAGTGAACAGCATGGATCCTGATTAGACTGCGGATGCGCAGGCTGGTCTGGATCCATGCTGGTCGCAAACTCACTATGTTGGTTTTGTCGTGACGCGGCTCATATTTTTTCAGAAATACTTTGTATTGGCCAGAATTTTTATATCCCCCACTATTGTCCTTAGACTGACAAAAGAGTGGAATTGTGGAGGTATCCATGTCCTATGAACACATTTCTTGTTGTTGTTTTTTTTGTTTTTTATCTAACTCATATTATGTTTTCCTATGTATCAACCATAGTTATAAAGGAACAACTATTAAGGTATCTGTTTTTATTTATCTTGAACATAATTATGTCTCTTAAAATTTAAAATATATTCCAATACATTTATTTTTATTAATCAGTGAAATATTTAAATAACATTCTTTTTCTTTCTAGATATTTTATATTTGTATTTGAAGTTTATCTATATTACGCCATTGTATAAAATGCTATGAGAAGTCACAAAGGGAGTTAACTTGATTGTAGTGGGATTAAAAGTTTGATCTTGTAAATGGAACAAGAATCACGCAGGGTAATTAATTCATGGAAGGGCACCTTATGTCTTCCTCCACTAGTAAAGCTGAAAAGTTGTCATAATGATGGTGTGAATAAAAATCCGACCTAACAAACATGAATTTGTACAAAATTCCTCTGTGATAATAATGATTGGTGTATAAATTTTGTTATACAGTTAAAATGGCCGAGTGTAAAAGATCAGGAGGGTGTAAGAGAAACTAAGATGGTATACAGGTTTACCTACCTTCCTTCGGGACTCTTCAACAGGGCTCAGGTGAGAAAAATCAAAATCATTTGAAGTTACAGAACACACTTATTTTTGCCCCCTCCCCCTTTTTTGGTATAATTTTTAAGAATTTTTCTCATAATTTTTTTTAAGTTAAGAATGATTTTCATACGTATTTCTCTAAAACAGGGCTTTAAGGCGAGAATAACTAAATCATTAGTTTTGAAAATACAGGACTTACTAACTAAGCCCCTTTTTAGTATGATTTTAAAAATAGTTTTCTTGTAAAAATGCTTTTCACTCTTGTATATAAAAACAAAACAGTGCAAGGATGAGCATGTCAAATTAAAAGAAAATTATGACTCCCTACATTTCAATACTTGATTTATGAAATATGTTTTATATATTATGTTTTATTAAGACTTATTCAACACAGTTATATAAACTTTTATTTTATTTTTTCAGGTGAGACTGTTCCAGTTTTCAGATGGTAAGATGGTATGGAAGAAGGGTTCATTGCTCAGTAAAAACAAACATCTTGCTCTTATAAAACAAGCGTAAGTTTTCCCATGATTCACATTTGTATGAAAAGACCATACCTGCTGCTTGTGTGATCGGTATTTTACTGGCAGCAGTACTTTTATGCAGGACTTTTAATTGAACAAAATATTATGCACATGCATTTTATTTATTGTACACGAAGTTATCGGATAGTAGTATTTATGTCCTGATCTTTAATCGAGCACATCCCGTTATTTCAATTATAACAGTTTTTTTTACCAATGAAATTTACATGTTTTTCGCCATTTTGGACTTGAAAAAATGGTTTTCGATAGCCAAAATTGCGTTTTAAGTGAGTACATACTAAGCAATGTGGTTTCATACAAAATATAAAAGGAATTGGCCAGGGATTTCAGATTAAGTTTACTATTAACAATAATTTGTTATAAGCATGTTTGTTATAAGTGGAGTCAACTGTGGTAGTCTGTCACTTGTAAACAAGAAAAATATTACATACATTCGTATGTAATATAGGTATGATTGCATACTACTTTTTGTGAAGGCTTTATGTTTGCTGAATTAAAGGTGAAATGTAAAATGAACAAACATGTCATGAGATATTTTATATCTTTAAACATTTTCATGGAATGTAATTAATGTATCACCATATTAAAGTTGCATGCCTTCAGATGAGAAAAATGATTTCAAGGAAATCAAAATATGAAAAGAAAATTCACGGTCAATTGACTGCTTTGAAGCATAATCACAAAATAAAATTACAGGAAATTAAAACCTTTTTAATACACTTAAGGTAGAATTTCATTGTAAATCATAGTCAAAGATTTGAGATATGATTATTTATTCACATTAACATCATTATTGGTTATATATTGATAAAAAAAAACCCAAAAGACACAGTTTGTAAATATTTATTACAATAAAATATGAAAAAGGTATACACGCCGAGGTTAGCTATAATTAAAATTCCCGCGCTAAGTCGCGGTGGTGCTTGGGATAATCACTTGATACTGTAAATGGCAGCCATTTTACGATACGAATCCTCGGACAGTTTATCCTGCCGAAAAGATATGAAAAAATACTTGCAATTCAAAGTTTGCTGGCCACATAAAGATTATCGATTTACTCTTTGCACACTTTTTCTCTGCCTGAGTATAATAATATTGACGTGCTTTAATTGGCTTTAACCATCACGTTACCAATACACATGTAGGTGTGAACTAATTTCGTGTTCATTAAAATTATTCCGTTAATAGACATATAACAATCTTATTTACAAATGAATTGATAAAACAACAATCCCACAAGCATTTAAGATAATAACAATCATTGGAAAAAAATAAATGCATATAAATTGTAAATTTGTGTATGACAACTCAACCCCCTAAACAAAACATAATAGACTCAACCAAAACAAGCGCCTGCTTCTTCACCTAACTATGTAGTTGCATGACCATGATTAGCAATTTAGCAAACCAAATCTAAGAGATAAACCTATTGTAAAAATAATACTATGACCACAGCAGATTTCCTACAGAAAAATCAGTAATTTCTGATTAGTTATAAAGGAAAGCCAATGAATCAATTGCCCAGATATGACTAAAAATGCATTGAAATCAACATAAAGAAACAACAACAGAAAAACTGTACTAGCATATGACTGAAATATTGTTGCTTATCTTAAATAGACAGTCAAATCATAGCATACTGAGCATGGAATTATGTTTTAGAAATTATAACATACCATATTTTACAGTGATAACAAAGAGCTTGTAGTGTTTGTACAAGGCCCGAGACCGGAGAACGTACTGTTTCTGATCCATGAAGTATTCGAGAGCATCATAGAGGAATCATTTAATGGAGTATCCTACGATATGTTCTTACCATGTCCTGACTGTGTTACAAAAGAGGTATTGTATATTGTACCACTTTGTTTGAATAAAAAAATTTACATGATCAGTCAAAGTGCTAGTAAACACAATGTACTTGTGCATACTTTATATCTCTGCATGATTGTAGCATTGATTTTCATTGGGTAACCATAACATTTAAATTATGTACATGTATGTACATGGCTGCCACAAATTTATTTAATAAAAAGCAGTTGTACCCTGTCACAGCTTTATTATACTGACTTTAAACTGTTGATACAGAATTTATTTTAGTTTGATTGTGTTGTAATATTTGAGCTTATAGAAACATTTAAAGTTTATATGGCCGAATATAAATTTACTTTTGTTTGCAGATTAGTTAATATAATCTTACAGCCTTTGATAAAATTGTAAAACAGTATGAAAAATAAATAGATATCTGAAAAATAAATGTAAGGGTCAGAGGGAATACATTTTCATTTTGAAGACCAGTAAAATTTTGTGATAAGGAAGCATTTAGAGAATGGTCTTCTGTTTTTATACTCAAAGAACTGAAGAATAAGGAGAGTTATTTTATGCACCCAGGCATCGGCATTGGCCTCAACATCACATTTTGGTTAAGTTTTTGTGTGCATGTTGGTATCTCCATAACTTCTGAAGGGAATGTTTTGAAACTTCACACACTTGTTCTCTGTAGTTATCTTACATGATGGACACAGGTCTCATAAATCTGAGTTAGCTTTTTACATAGTTATGTCCCTTTTCTTACTGTCAAGCACTGAGAATAATTAATTAACTCTTCATTTTGTAAGGATATAAACCTAAATAAGCGTTGCAATAAATCTCCAAAATAATGAAGATATGACAGAAATTTTTTATTTTTTTATATGAAGTCGAGTTTATCAGAATTGTCAATCTGTTTACAGGGAGCATTGGAACCAGACTTATTGAATGCTAAACTGATACAGAGGGCTATTGATATGAAGGCACCCTTTATACAGTGCTATAAATACTTCCACTGGATTTCAATGGCACAACTTCAAGGTAAGTTTTTATGTTTTTAAAACTTGATTTTAAATCAAGATTGAATTCCACTGGATATAGAGTTTTATATAATTATTCCCCTTTACAAACAGTGATAATTCCAGCATGGCTCTTGTAAGAACATGCTCTGGCTGCATGTAAAGTCAGATATTTTTGCAAGTACCAAATTTTGCAAAATCAACATTTTGGACTTAATGGCCAGTTAAAGTAATTACAAATTACTATTTCAGTTCTGTTAACCTTATATGCTATTTCGATAGTGTGTTAATGGTATGTGTTAATGTCTTTCCTGAAAAATCTTCAGTTTGCTAAATTAGTGAAATTAAACCATTCACAAATATTTCAGATTTTACGGTATCTGACAATATGTTGTTTATTTTGTTACCAGAAAAAGAGAAAACAACAACATGGTACATTTATAAAATGTTTACTATTTAGAAAATAAATTCAAGTTTGTATTTATGTTTTGGGAAATTATGGCCACTCGAGAAAAACAACGTGGATAACCAACGTGGTTTTAGTTTGGGAAAAAACGTATGCCGACCGGAAGGAGGCCAAAACGAAAATGTTAGTCATATTAATTGACCAACAGATTGTCAAACATTAACAGAATACTAGTCACTTATGTTTACCAGTGTCTTATTGATATACCAATACGAACTAATTGACAAAGACCGACACCTTCCATAACCGTACGGATAACCATATAATAATATCGGGTACCGGCAAAGCCACGGAGCCAAAATAATAGTACATCAACACGGACCAGCTGACAACCACTGATACCTTCCATTATCCTACCGATAACCGTAAAATAATGAAAACTACCAGAAGCATCACGGAGCCTGAAGTACCAGCTGACAACCACTGATACCTTCCATTATCCTACCGATAACCGTAAAATAATGAAAACTACCAGAAGCATCACGGAGCCTGAAGTACCGATTACAAACACACAGATATTACCAAAGCACTAGAGCAATATCTGGTTACCTGACACAAAACACTTGTGTCACACATTATACCGACACATACACTGTGTCACACTTTATACCGACACATACACTGTGTCATACTTTATCCGACACATACACTGTGTCACACTTAATACCGACACATACACTGACCTACTTTACCAGACACAAACAATTTAGAAGTTTAAACGCCAAAGATATAAATTTATAATATTAACGCTGATTAAATACACGGTAATAGTTAAGACCGTAGACAAGATTGTTAACCAGACGGCCGCCTCCCGATCGACATAATTTTTTTTTTTTTCCCAGGCATAATATGAGTGACATTGTAGACTTGATTCTAAGAAGTACAAACAAATAACACATGTATAGAATCAGAGCAACTTCATAACATCTTCAAGATTTAAAATTAATGTAAATGTTCACTATACTTCCGGCACTAAACAACTTCCATGTCACTATTAGAGTCTCTCAGCTCCACACAAAAACACATGTAACCCGCGATTAAATGAAACATATTAGGAGAAAACAATACACAGATACAGTTACAGTCTAAACATTGACGATCCCTGAAGTTTGGTCTTCTCCCTTATTGCAAAGTAATGGTTTTCCGTCGAGAGGTACATTGTGTAGATTGCTTTACATTGACTGATCGTGCAGAAGGATCGCCTTGTCAAAGTGTCAGTGCCATGGAAGTATCTGTAATATAAGAACTACCAGAAAACAGTTAAATTGTTCACCAACCATTTTTACAAAATGATTTTATCTTGGAAAGATAATTTGACTATTTATCAGTAATTCAAACTTTGAAAAATCATATGTACTAATGCGTAAAAAACCTTTTAGCACGAACTTATAAAATAAACCAATTTCATTATTTATACTGACAGTACAAAAAGTACAACAAATTTATAAATCACAACATATTTATAAATCATAATAACATTGGGGTGTGGCGGGTGGGAAGAGTTAATTTGAAGTGTACTCGGACAGCGAGTTGTAAACTGAGAGACCGATGCACGAGTTTCACGTGCTTATATAGTTGTTGAGAGTGATATTGGTTCCGTTTACTACCTAACTAATATATATACACCGAAATGGAACCAGTGATTTGTAAACAAAAATCTCGTTCGAACGAGATTGAAATAATTTCTTGAAAAAATAAAGGAAATTATTTTAAGGGAAAAATAATTTATATTATTTTGTTACCAGAAAAAGAGAAAACAACAACATGGTACATTTATAAAATGTTTACTATTTCGAAAATAAATTCAAGTTTGTATTTATGTTTTGGGAAATTATGGCCACTCAAGAAAAACAACGTGGATAACCAACGTGGTTTTAGTTTGGGAAAAAACGTATGCCGACCGGAAGGAGGCCAAAACGAAAATGTTAGTCATATTAATTGACCAACAGATTGTCAAACATTAACAGAATACTAGTCACTTATGTTTACCAGTGTCTTATTGATATACCAATACGAACTAATTGACAAAGACCGACACCTTCCATAACCGTACGGATAACCATATAATAATATCGGGTACCGGCAAAGCCACGGAGCCAAATAATAGTACATCAACACGGACCAGCTGACAACCACTGATACCTTCCATTATCCTACCGATAACCGTAAAATAATGAAAACTACCAGAAGCATCACGGAGCCTGAAGTACGAATACCGATTACAAACACACAGATATTACCAAAGCACTAGAGCAATATCTGGTTACCTGACACAAAACACTTGTGTCACACATTATACCGACACATACACTGTGTCACACTTTATACCGACACATACACTGTGTCATACTTTATCCGACACATACACTGTGTCACACTTAATACCGACACATACACTGACCTACTTTACCAGACACAAACAATTTAGAAGTTTAAAACGCCAAAGATATAAATTTATAATATTAACGCTGATTAAATACACGGTAATAGTTAAGACCGTAGACAAGATTGTTAAACCAGACAGCCGCCTCCCGATTGACATAATTTTTTTCCCGCCACAGTAAATTTTGACACAAAAAATTTATCCTCCAAAAAAATAGCGATGAACACTTAATTTAATTAATTTTCAACAATTGCATCTTTCAAATAGTCTAAATAAAACTCCAAGCCTACAATGTTTAAATGGATACCATCAGGGCGGAAGAAACAGGCGTCATTAATCTCAGTGGTAATAATCGCCCGCTTCCCAGACTCCATGACAATTCTTCGACCTAATCTATTTAAACGCTTTCTCTTTAAGTTTAAGGGCTTGTTTTCATTTTCCGGCCAAGTTCGTGGGAGGATATCCATCCACACAAGAAGGGTGTCAGGAAAGGCATCACGTAAATAGTCGATTTCCTGTTTTATGAGATTTCTTATGTCGGGTGTTTTTAAACGATTGCAAGTCGTTTCCCCCAAGTTAATAATTACCTTTTAGGTGGCTGAGAAAAATAGAACCTGCAATTCAATGTGACGCCTCAATCCCGACCAACCAAGGCCTCTTTTTTCCCCCACCATGCAATGGACACAGACCGTCGATCTTTAAATTGCTCTTGAAAGTGTCCAGATGCGTGAACCCCGGCCCAATACGGCAACGAATCGCCTAACACCCAGACATCTGAATAAAATAAAATCAGGTTGAAACTTAACGTACATACAGCTTAAAAGAGTTTAGAGGACCATCGACCTAATTTCATAATGGCATCTGATGGATAACCAGCGATAGCCAGATCAGTCGCCCGACCAATCCTAAAACTGTGTGTCCGGAAATGGCCGGCTCAATAACGGGTCTTATCAATAGCTAGCGATAGGACACGAGAAAATTGTGCCTCAAAATTGGTGCTTCGTTTTTATGACAAAACAGAATTGAAAAACCTTTTGATCGGATCTTTAAATATTCTAGTATCTCAGAGACAGGACATAATCCATTCATATTCCTAGGCAGCTTGATGATAGCTGGATTACCATATTGGCTTGTTTTATAATGGCGAAGACAGATAACGATATACTGTTCATTCTCTTCAAAGTGTACATCGTTAAGCAAAAATTGCATGGCCAAGATGACAAATACTTGAAAGCTGTAAGTTCACTGACACGAAAAAGGCCAAAATAAGCAAGCGTGAACAGTGCTCGAAATAATGTGGTTTCATAATTATCATAACAAACGGAGTGTAAATTAAGGTATATTTCCTCTAATACATGTATTGTAAGAGGTGCCCGTAAATCTTGCGTAGGTCTACTTCTGCGACAGCCCTCTAATAATTTGTTAACCATAAAGACTTAATTAAAACTCTTAAAACCGAGGATTTTATGAACGTAGTTAATTCCTGCTAAATATGTAGTGATTGATTTAGGGATAACCCCTTCTCAAAAGCAAAATGATAAATATAAAATCATATGATCGACCGGAATTGGCCAATCAGAAGTTAAATTATATTCGTGCCTAAATTTTTCGAATGAACCTTATGGCATTATTATATACGATCATCGAATTTGGAGCTACTGCTGAACTAAGCAACTGTCTAGCTCTTCCCTGAAGACGCTCTCCATAGAAAATGTGGTACTAGACTGGGCTCGGGGTCTGCTTCCGGGGCGAGTGATCGGAATCGGGATAGCTGTAAACGAGACAAAGAGTCACAAATAGCGTTTTGATGACCAGGCACGTGAATTGACCTTATCCAGATATTTAGTTTAAGGCAACGTAGTGTTATTAAACGTACCAGTCTCATTACTCTACAAGACTTTGAAGACAATTTATTTAATATATGAACAACTGCTATATTATCACAGTGAAATTGAATCTTCTTATTCAACAGCTGATCTCCCCAAATATATAATGCTACAAAATCGGAAATAATTCAAGAACAGTAATATCTGAAGTAATGCCGGATTCGTGCCATTCAAGGGGCCATTTCGCATAACACCAGTGACCGCAAAAATATACACCAAATCCTAAATTTGGTCCCCCCTGCGCTATCTGTGAAAAGTTGAACATCAACATTCGATACCCAGTACTTGTCATGAAATAAGGATAAACCATTAAAATCTTGAAGAAACGATAACACACATTTTTAAATCCAATCTTATCTCTTTTTTAAGCCTTATGCGGTGAAAATGGTTTAGTAAGCCCGCATATAGAATCAATTAATCTACGTGAAAAAGGTCTGCCCATTGGTATAGCCCGACAACAAAAATTAAGTACACCAATTAATGACTGCATTTTTTTCAACGTTGTTTTTTTATGAGATAATATCTCTTCAATTTTTAAGACATTTTTTACTTCCTGGATTTTTACTCCCGGAACCTTAACCGTCATATTATTCGAATCGAGTTCGAGGCCTAAAAACGTTAATACTTCAGTCGGTCCCTCTGTTTTCTCTACCGCGAGTGGAACACCCAACTCGGACATAGTAGTTTTAAAAATTTGAAATGCTTTTGAACAAGATTCAAAAGTTATATCGGCGCCCAGAAAATCATCTAAATAATGTATTAATCCTCCTGTTTTAAATTTACGGAGAGCACTAAACTCAAGGAAACGCGAAATCTTTCAAAAGTTATGCAGCTTATTGATGCGTCGAAAGGCAAAGCTTTATCAAAATAAAAGTTATTATTAAAGCAGAAACCAAGTAATTCAAAGTCGGACGGTTTAATAGGGATCAATCTGTAAGCACTACGAATATCCGCTTTAAATAGTTTACAATTCTGACCCAAATTCTGGATAAGTTTAACCGCTTCATCAAAACTAGTGTACTGTACCGTGCATAGGTTAGGATCAATGTAATCATTTATTGATTCACCAGGGGGATATGATAAATGGTGAATGAGCCTATATTCACCCGGTGTCTTTTTTGGACAAGCCCAATAGGGGAGACGATTAGTTTTGGCAATGGCCGATGTACAAACGGACCAGCTACCCTACCCAATTCAATTTCTTTATTAATTTTTGATTGTATAAGTTCGGGGTTTAAATCTGTCGAGCGCAAATTTTTGGCATTTCGTGGTGCACGTGGACCGTTATATTGAATGGGAAAACCGTGCAAAAATCCTTGTAATAAAAATACACCTTCGGTTTTGTCATAATATCTTAAATATCGTCTTAAAACCCTAACATTAATTGGTGATGGAGCTAATCTATAAATATCCTGATTATGAGATATTGTATTTCCACAAATGTTTGACACATTAATTTTTTCTTTGCTGATTGAATGATCCTTTAGGTCTACGAAAGGATTTATTATTAAAGTTAGACTGTGTATTCGAAGACTGTGTATTCGACTGTGGACCGGACCACGTGCATTTGATTTCCGGATGAGGACCGTGACATTTTGAGCACGTGTGTGAGAACTTACAATCCGGCCACGTGCATGAACCTGAATTGAAAGGGTTACATGTATATCTCCTCACGTTCGAGGGGTTTTTTGTTAACAGGCTTCAATTGCATACAGCGCCACCACAGATCGTTATTTATCTTTGACCAGGGGGCTGGTGTTATAGCTTGCCGGAGACGAAATTGCTCGTCGTATTCTCGCCAGCAATACGACCCTTGTCTTGCAGCGGCCTCTCATGTTATACATATAGTGTATTAGCTCATAGCTTTTGTCAGCGTGATTTGACAAATACACAGACGCATATATCAAAAATGCATTAGTCCATTTTTCAATGTCGAAAATCTTTTCTTTGCAATCTCTTCGACATGCTTCAATTTCCCCATTTAAACTTAATTTAAAAATTGAACCATCACAATATTGGGAGAGTTCCACAGTTCCTTTTAACATCAATGCCAAATTAACATATTCTCCCCTACAAATTTGTTGTTTGATAGAAGATGGTAAGTGCGCCGCAATATCGTCGTCTGCTAAACGAGTAACGGGCATTGGGACGCATGCAGAGTTATCGCGCATGGCATTACTTTGAAAGAAATCACGTTGTGGAGGGTTGCCACGTGTAACTAAAGGAGAACTATTATTATTGACTGAACCACTGCCACACCCCATACTTAAATCATTTGAACCTGAATTATTATTAATACTAACATTACTATTCGGTAACAATTGACTAGCTCTCATAATTTGTTCAAAGTCTATGAAATTGGACGAACCTGCGTTGGACTGTAAAGACGTGTCTTCTGCTAGGGAGTCACCGTCCTCCTCTGCCTGCCTTTTCCGACCCCTGGTCTGTACATTATTAGGCTGGTTTGCAGTATTTACTGGCCTTGAAGCCCTAACTGGTCTTCCTCTACCACGTGGCATTCCAAACAACGAGATTTCCGATGTAAAATCTGAAGAGTTAATTTGAAGTGTACTCGGACAGCGAGTTGTAAACTGAGAGACCGATGCACGAGTTTCACGTGCTTATATAGTTGTTGAGAGTGATATTGGTTCCGTTTACTACCTAACTAATATATATACACCGAAATGGAACCAGTGATTTGTAAACAAAAATCTCGTTCGAACGAGATTGAAATAATTTCTTGAAAAAATAAAGGAAATTATTTTAAGGGAAAAATAATTTATATTATATTATAGAGAAGCTACCAGCTGATACGAAGGAAGTTGCTGATTTTGACATCCAGTTACAGCAGAGTATAGTCGCCCTACAAGAGTTAAACAATGATCTGGTTGTTGATACAGCTATATTGTATAGTATGGCAGATGTTCCAGGTCCAGACGAGACGGACAAGCTGCCTCCTAAACTAATCTATGAAGATATTATAAAATGGGGCTATACTTGGTATGTATATTAAATGATGTAATTTCATAAAATTTAAAGAAAAGAAATCATCAACATATTTGGTTCAGACTTATTTGTCATAGTACACTTTACATATTGTTTAAAATAAATGTGATTGGAAATGTGCACTTTGTCCTACAGAGGTGCTAAATTGACCTCTAAATATGCTTTGTTATAAGGGTGGCTGTTAAAATGATGTCTATTGCTGGTCTGCTTCATTACAACAGGTCATATAGATATGCTTCATTATAGCAGCATTTCATGTTTTATAGTTACATTTCATATACATAGTTGTATAGTAAAAACGATTTTGATTTTGTGATTAGTGTGATGTTAAATGTTGCACTGTTAATTATTAGGAGAGGCACTTGTTAGAGGTAGAACTAAGTATTAATACAATACACTGAGTATCACTTGAAAATATATATATAAATAAATATCTTGTTACAGCTGGTTTTCTGAAGATATGAACAATGTCAGTGCAGTCGATATGACAGCTGCGATCAAAAACTGTAAAGTTCTGATTGCTCTCGTGTCTGACGAGTTTGAACGAGATGCTAAATGTCGTGACCTATTTCTGTACGCTAAAGATACCATGAACAAAGATGTCATCACTATTGTACTCGGTGAAAGTATGGAATGGGAAAACAAAGATCTTGGCATGAAAATTGGCAAACAAGAGGTATGGAGTTGTTCAGTTTAGTTTTAACATATTCATTCAAGCTTGAATTAAATTCTGAATTAACTTATATCTACACCCTGTACTGACTGACATCATATGAGAAACATCAGGTCATCATTACTGCAGGTCCAAACCCATGGACTCTAGATTGTGAGGCGAAGTTCAACTGATACATAAGCGTGTATGGCAAGCAATTTGAAATTTTCATCTGAAAGACTAGCCTATATTTTAAGCACTTATAAATATATGTAAATATTTGTTACTTTGATTCTATTAATTCTATTTTAAATATCAGAATGCCATCTGTGAAGAGCTTTGAAAGTGTTTTGTGGAGCCAAAACTGATTGTTGTTTGGTGATACATATTTTTATGTTCCCTCCGTTTAGGTGGATTGCGTGGAGGGGTCATATAAAATTTACCCTGGTTGGGCCATCATGTGTCCTGCTGTCAAGCTGTCCATACATATGGACTACTTTTATCAGCTTCAGTTAATGCATTTATACAAATGATGGATATTATTTTTTGTATTGTACATTTGTGTCAAGGATCACAAAATAAATGAGTTGAGTTGATTTGACTACTTATTTTCAGGTTCAATTTATAAATTAAGTGTTGTAATGGACTACTTTTTCAGCCTCATTTAATGTAAGACTACAAGTGTTGTCTATGAACTACTTTCACAGCTTTATATAATACATGTACAAGTCATGTATATTACTACATTTTTTCAGCGTAAGTTAATGGCAAAGACCAAAGCAAGATACGAGGTTGAGGGTGGAAGGAGAGCGGAATTTAAAGAATGGCTGACAGAAAAGATATTACTGCTTTCACAGGTAAATGCTTTTACAAATATATATTATAAATATACCATAAACAATGTAGTCAGCATTATTTGTGGTCTTTCTCTAAAATTGCTCACCTGTTACAAATTGAAAATATTTTTCAAATCCTGTCATCTCAAAAAACCTCTGTTGAGTCTATTTAAACATTAAAGAAATTCATTCAGTTGTTTGTTTACATCTAGGAGGACACATTATTACCAGATGTATTTGTAAGTTATTGTTGGAGCAACTCTAAGAGTGCTGCTGAGAAATCTGGACGTATAAATCCGGACTCACTAGGTTGGGGTGATCCACGTCAGATGAAAGCTGTATTACAAAAACAAGGCATAAACTGCTGGATTGATGTAGAAAATGTTGGGAAAGATAAGGTATTTTCATTTTTTTAGCCCTTACCATCCTGATTTTGTACATGTACAGTCCAACCCCGTTTATTCGAAGTGCCTGGGACTGAATATTTACTTCGAATAATCAATGGGTCGAATAATCGAAATCGAATATTGTGATAGACAAAAACTACTCAGCTTTGACCAATCATAGTAAAACTACCTTTTACAACACACCTACTTCCTGTAATCAATTGAGAAAAATAGATATTAAAGAAAAGATGCGTCAAAATTATTGTATTGACATTGAATACATAAATACTTGCATTTTACTCTACATAATGTATCGTTTCCTTTCGCGCAATAATGGCCGTGTTGTCACTACGGTATTTACATCTAAACTCTGGTATTTTCGATTAGGATAAAGACTTTCATGTAGCGTCACAATTAATGAAAAAAATGTTTTGGATATTTTGACAAATTTACATATACGTATGTATGAAAATTATTGCTGTCATCTTCAAGCAAATTATAACAGTAACAAAATCGGACACGGTGCATAGCTTTTCATTTTCGGTAATTTGAGTTGATTAAAGAACGCACAAAGAGTTATTATCATGATTGTCTAAATACACGCAAGACTGTTGATATATTTCACAAGTCGACCGGTCAGCGAGTGGATCTGTGCCAATTAGTCTGGCTTCAAATAATAATTAGGCTGGCTTCGAATAATAGGTGTGGAATTCTTTCATAATTGTATAATCGGGAGCAAAATTTTACCTCGAAAAATAGGAGGTATTCGGTTAATGCATTTCGAATAATACGCTCGTATTTATATTGATTTATAAAGAGATAAAAACGGGACCGCCGATCTAATTCGGATAATGCCGGGTATTCGAATAAAGGGTTGTCGAATAACCGGGGTCGGACTGTATAAGTTGTCTTGTCCTACTGTTATTGGTTGATAAATACATGTAGATGTTTTCTGCTTTAATTAATTGTCTTGTTCTATTGAATTTGTGTAAAATACTTGTTCTGCTGAATGTGTATAAAAGATAATAGACCAAAATTATATAAAAAATAGTTTTAAGTGATATTCTATAGACCAAAATTATAAAAGAATTAGTTTTAGTGATATTTCATAGACAAAAATTATAAAAAAAATTAGAAATGTGATTTTTTTATAGACCAAAATCTAATTTTAAGTGATATTTTTTACACCAAAATGATATTTCATATTTCAGAAAGGAATATTTGCAGACATGGCTGCTGGTATTAGAAACAGTAAAATGATGTTAGCATTCATCTCTGACGAGGTAGATAGTTTTGTCGTTTATTTCACCTTTAAAGCAGCATGCCTCCAGATTGAAGTTAATTTTCATGAAAATTTTGGTAATGTATTCATAAGTAAAATATTGGGAGGTGAACAAATAAAGTAATTTACATATTGCAATCTGCACTTATTATCCAAGAAAATTACCAAAAAGTCATAAACATATGCAAAAACAGCCCTTTAAATGCATTAGTAACGCAGTAGAAATATGGTGATAAAATACTGCAAAATCAGTCTTAAACTGCACACAACATGTAAAATATATCTTGTATGTTTTACCTTTCTTAAAATTTTAGTACATTTTTCTCAATATTTTGGCTCATCTGGAGGTGTGCAGATTTAATCTACTAAACTTCTGTAATAGATTTGTCAAGCTTTCATTATAAAACTGTCCATTATCATTTGCCAACAGTGTAGAGACTGTATACTGTTTATTCACTTAAATTCGTAGGCATGAATTTTTGTGGTTTTGTCAAATATGATGTTTTTGTGTATTATTAAATTCCTGGATTGTCTGTTGACTTTTTTTTTGGTATTAATTTGCAATAAAAAAACCTATTACATTTGTACTTGAAACTACTTCATTATAAGCCTTTTTCAGACCTTATCATTTCACTTTCATGTTAAATCTTGTTGTGTTGCAGTATGCAGAATCGGTCAATTGTATGATGGAATTACGATTCGGAATTATAAATATTGAGCTGCCATTGGTTGCTGTAGCAGTCGGAACAAAATCTGGCTGGAAACAAACTGAGGTATGTCCATGGTTTTACCATGTTTGGGTTTTCTTGCTGCAATATTAAAAAAAGGCAGAAAACAAAAACAAAGTCACTTCCTGTCATGTTTTTATACTTATACATGCTTGTGAGGCATTCTTTGGTGTTTTCATTTAACTAAATTAAAAAGTGACTATGATAATAAAAATTTCTAATGAATGAAAAAAAACTTGCAGGAAAATAAATTGTTTTCCATTATTTAATAGATTGATTATTTGAGACATTTGTATAATGAAAAAGGAGGGCATTTATACTCACACTGGAGTCGGTGTGGTCGTCACATTTTTAATCTATGAGTGCAGGTTGGTATCTCCAAAACTACTGAATGGAATGGAATGATACTCCACAAAAAGTTTACACACTTATGTGAGAGCATAGTAGGAGGTCACTGTCTAAGGCCAATAACTCCTACATGGATTTTGACAGAATTATGGCCCTTTTTGAACTTAGAAAACTCTTATATTATCCAAGCTCTGTCAAGCACTGAGAATAGTCAAGCACACTAAGCACATTGTCCTTCTGACAGCTCATGTGTTGTTTTATTGTACACATTTGTATGTTTCTACAAATTTTTTCAGGTTGCTATGTTACTGCGTAGAGCTCATGCTAATGAGGTCTCTTTACAGAATGAAAATCCTGAGGGAATTAATGTCATGGTCAAATATGTCCAAGGTAAAATATCTAGTTGTTTCACCATTTAGAAAAATAACAAGTGGCAATGTAACAATGCTAGTTCCATAATATGTTACTATTTCTGAGTTAATAACATGAGACAATTCTTTAGTCACATGGTAACCAATTTGTCTTGGTCCCCAACGTTTCTATAAAAGCTAATCTGCAATGTATTATTGTATTCTTGTCAACCAGCATTACAGTAGAACCCCACTAATGAGACCACTAGTGGTTCTAAGGAGAAATGGTCTTAATAGTGGGCTGGTCTTAATTTCAGATTGTCTCAAAAAATAATGTTGGCGTCAGTTAGCTATATACATTTTGTATTTCCAAAAAGATTAATTTAATAATGGCCATTGACCAGTAATTGACAATGACAAATGTTAAGGATAAAATATGAAAACTGCCTAACAATATAAAAAGACTCCCCTACTCTTTTTATCAAGTGAATGTTACCGAAACATTCAGAAGAATATTTACAGAATTGACAATCAGCCGCATCACCTTGCATGGGTTGTTGATTATACATGTGAAAGCAAAATGCAAAGTAACCTGTACACTCACCATTTACACTGGGGCTGACTTACTGTCAGTTTAAAAAATGTTGAAACATGACTAAAGAGATTTCTATTTTGCTTGTTGTAGACATGTTACAGAAGGAGAAATTGTCAGGTAGTAAAAAGAAGAATAAAAAGAAGACACAGGATGCTGTTGATCTACTCAAGAAAGGGATGGAGTCAAAGAAAGAAACCAAAACTTCCTCTGTGGCCTATCAGGTAAGTTATTTAAAAATTTTATAACATGACTATTCGGAGAATAGGGAGCGCTATTGTACTCACCCCAGGGTAGGAATTGGTTAAGTTTTTTGCATGTAAGTTGGTTATCTCCAAAATTACTGAAGGGAATGGATTGAAACTTCATACACTTGTTTTCTGTGGTTATTTCACATGATGTACATAGGTGTCATAACGCGTTACCTTTTTACTGAGTTATGCCCCTTTTCTTACTGTCAGTACTGAGAATAGTTGAGTTTGCTGTATTATGAACAGCTACTTGCCCTTTTATTACTGTGTGTTACCTTGATATCCTTTGGGAATTCATTTAAAGAAGCTATCTAAAAAATGCAGTGGCTGTACCTTTGTGCAAATATTTGCCTGAAATAATCTGGTCTTCTGAAATCATTATGACAATAATGTGGGTGTGAATTTAAACCCATCAGAAAGAAAGAGAATTATATCTGTTACAAATAGAGGGAGACTTATTCTTTTCATCATCTTTGTCTGTCCTTTTATTATCCATCTTTAAATTAGATTTATATTATTACAGGAAGAGGTTGAGCTTATTCAGAGAAAGTTTATGAGGCATATACTGGGTTCTATAATTGCTGTGGATACAATGCCATTACCTAGACTGATTGTTGTAGACTTTGTAAAATCTGGTAAGTAAACAATTTACTTAAAGAACTTGTATTACTCTTCATGCAACTATTAATCCATGAAGTGCTAGCCACACAAAAGCAGGCCTGTGCTACCAGTATTGAGTCAGTCCAGTCTGCACATCTGTGCAGTGTGAGCAGACTCTGTACCATACAAAATATATCAATCTATATAACTATACAATATTCGATAGTACTCTACCTATACAATATTCCGGTAATACACTACCTATACAATATTCCGGTAATACACTACCTATACAATATTCCGGTAATACACTACCTATACAATATTCCGGTAATACACTACCTATACAATATTCCGGTAATACACTACCTTTACAATATTCCGGTAATACTCTATCTACACAATATTCCGGTAATACACTACCTATACAATATTCCGGTAATACACTACCTATACAATATTCCGGTAATACACTACCTATACAATATTCCAGTAATACACTACCTTTACAATATTCCGGTAATACTCTATCTACACAATATTCCGGTAATACACTACCTATACAATATTCCGGTTGTACACTTCCTATACAATATTCCGGTAATACACTACCTATACAATATTCCGGTAATACACTACCTTTACAATATTCCGGTTGTACACTACCTTTACAATATTCTGGTAGTACACTCTACCCATACAATATTCAGGTAATATACTCTACCTAAAAAATATTCCGGTTGTACACTCTACCTATACAATATTCCGGTTGTACACTACCTATACAATATTCTGGTAGTACACTCTACCCATACAAAACACGGATAGTACACTCTACCATTACAATATTCTGGTAATTCACTCTACCTGTACAATTTTCCGGTAGTACACACTACCTATACGATATTCCGGTTGTACACTACCTATACAATATTCCAGTTGTACACTACCATATACAATTTTCCGGTTGTACACTACCTATACAATATTCCGGTTGTACACTACCTATACAATTTTCCGGTTGTACACTTCCTATACAATATTCCGGTTGTACACTACCTATACAATATTCCGGTTGTACACTTCCTATACAATATTCCGGTTGTACACTACCTATACAATATTCCCTTTGTGCACTACCTATACAATATTCCGGTTGTACACTACCTATACAATATTCCCTTTGTGCACTACCTATACAATATTCCGGTTGTACACTTCCTATACAATATTCCCTTTGTGCACTACCTATACAATATTCCGGTTGTACACTTTCCTATACAATATTCCGGTTGTACACTATCTATACAATATTCCGGTTGTACACTACCTATACAATATTCCGTTTGTGCACTACCTATACAATATTCCGGTTGTACACTACCTATACAATATTCCCTTTGTGCACTACCTATACAATATTCCGGTTGTACACTACCTATACAATATTCCCTTTGTGCACTACCTATACAATATTCCGGTTGTACACTTCCTATACAATATTCCCTTTGTGCACTACCTATACAATATTCCGGTTGTACACTTCCTATACAATATTCCGGTTGTACACTACCTATACAATATTCCGGTTGTACACTACCTATACAATATTCCGTTTGTGCACTACCTATACAATATTCCGGTTGTACACTACCTATACAATATTCCCTTTGTGCACTACCTATACAATATTCCGGTTGTACACTACCTATACAATATTCCGTTTTGTGCACTACCTATACAATATTCCGGTTGTACACTTCCTATACAATAATCCGGTTGTACACTTCCTATACAATATTCCGGTTGTACACTTCCTATACAATATTCCGTTTGTGCACTACCTATACAATATTCCGGTTGTACACTTCCTATACAATATTCCGGTTGTACACTTCCTATACAATAATCCGGTTGTACACTTCCTATACAATATTCCAGTTGTACACTTCCTATACAATATTCCGTTTGTGCACTACCTATACAATATTCGGATTGTACACTTCCTATACAATATTCCGGTTGTACACTTCCTATACAATATTCCGGTTGTACACTTCCTATACAATATTCCCTTTGTGCACTACCTATACAATATTCCGGTTGTGCACTACCTATACAATATTCCGGTTGTACACTTCCTATATAATATTCCCTTTGTGCACTACCTATACAATATTCCGGTTGTACACTTTCCTATACAATATTCCGGTTGTACACTTCCTATACAATATTCCGGTTGTACACTACCTATACAATATTCCGGTTGTACACTACCTATACAATATTCCGGTTGTACACTACCTATACAATATTCCCTTTGTGCACTACCTATACAATATTCCGGTTGTACACTTCCTATACAATATTCCTTTGTGCACTACCTATACAATATTCCGGTTGTACACTTCCTATACAATATTCCGGTTGTACACTACCTATACAATATTCCGGTTGTACACTACCTATACAATATTCCGTATTTGTGCACTACCTATACAATATTCCGGTTGTACACTACCTATACAATATTCCGGTTGTACACTACCTATACAATATTCCATTTGTACACTTCCTATACAATATTCCCTTTGTGCACTACCTATACAATATTCCGGTTGTACACTTCCTATATAATATTCCGGTTGTACACTACCATTACAATATTCCAGTTGTACACTACCTATACAATATTCCGGTTGTACACTTCCTATACAATATTCCGGTTGTACACTACCTATACAATATTCTGGTTGTACACTACCTATACAATATTCAGGTTGTACACTTCCTATACAATTATTCCGGTTGTATACTTCTTATACAATATTCCCTTTGTGCACTACCTATACAATATTCCGGTTATACACTACCTATACAATATTCCGGTTGTACACTTCCTATACAATATTCCGGTTGTACACTACCTATACAATATTCCGTTTGTACACTTCCTATACAATATTCCCTTTGTGCACTACCTATACAATATTCCGGTTGTACACTTCCTATACAATATTCCGGTTGTACACTACCTATACAATATTCCGGTTGTACACTACCTATACAATATTCCGTTTGTGCACTCTTCCCATACAATATTCAGGTAATATACTCTACCTTTGCAGTATTCCGGTTGTACACTCTGCCTATACATATACTAGTATTATGCTGTAACCTATATATATTTTTATTGCTTTTTTTAAGTTTATATTTAGATATTATTGTCATTATTATTATGTTACTTCTTGGTGAACAAAAATTTTATCCAAAATGTTTTTCTCTAGGTAAACAACAAAACAGAAGCAAGTAGCTGTTCAAAGTTTAACTTTACTGCTGAATTATTAAGTCTCTTATGGTCTCCATTTAAAATACACAATCTATATTAAGATTCCTTATTTAATATAGTATGAAATACTATTTTTACTGATTTTTAACCGCTTAAGGGATATACCAGTATCCTGCCAACTTGTGGAAGGTATGTGCTCTTACATAGAACTTGTCAGGATACCTTGTTTTATCTACATGAAAAGTCAGTCCTGTCATTTGACATGGCTCAACTTCTTTAGCAAAAATAAATTGCTTTACAGCTTAGCTATTTAACTACTGTAAAAGTAGATATTTGCATGAAGCCAAAATTTTGCACAAGGAACAATTAGGAATAGTTTGTGAGGTTAATGATTCAATTATGTTAAATTTATAGGATGCTATGATACTAAGCGCAAACATTTATCATACACAAGAAAATCTTAAAGTTCTGAAATTTGCAAAATTTAATTACTTTCTTATTAGCTTCTTACAACATGGGAAATATACATTATGACTCAAATATTATACGATAGTAAGTGTGATGAAACTTACAAAATAAACCCAACTAAAATAAAATGAATTTTGAAATGGAGACCATTGTAACACAATTTCTAAATGGAGACCATTATAATACTGTGTGTTTTTCTTGATTTTAACAAGCATGTTCTTGGAGTCTTTCCATTAAAATAATAAATAACAAAGGGATAAATTAAAGCTATTCAGAAGTACGTAATATGCATAGATCCCTGATCTTTCCTTCTCTAATTATCAGATTAGTTGATACAATAAGAATTTCACCACAACATATTTGTTTGCAAAATAGCATATGTCAATGTTTGTGGTTAAATCTATTGTTACAACTAAAAGGTCAGAATAGGGATCTATCAAATTCTTATCTCTGTTTCTTTTTTCTTCATCTTTGCTGGTAAAGGTTTAAAAATCAATTTACAGGGCACTTGCTTATTTTCAGTTATCTAAATTTACTTCAATTTATTGTGCACTAACATACTTCACAATTAGATGTTGATAGAAATTAACAAGGATATTTCTTTGTAAATTCTTGATGCATAAATCTTAAGATTAGTATAGCCCTAAGCCTACTTCAGACAATGGTATAAAGAATGCTTAAAATATACCACAGTATGTTAATTACCGTGGTATATTGTGTGGTTAGGTAATCACACAGTTATTGTATAAACAAATTAACCACACAAAAACCTTATCACACAAAACTGGTAATATTACCTTATGATAATAATGCCCCACAATGTGATGTAATTTTCATGGACAACAGTTCAGCCATTGTAAGTCTTCTTATATATGCTTGGTTCTTATATTATTTAATTCTTGCACTATATTTATTACTACATAATGATGAAATGGAACAAGAATTTTCTAGATATAATCTGTTTTCATCATAAATTGTGAAAGGATATAGAACAACAAAAAAGTTTCAAAAGAAGAAAACCCAATTAGATCTTGGGCTTATATTTTTTTAAACATTGTCTATAAATTTTCAAAATAATATGCCATTCTAAGTCAGTAATATATTTCAAATTGATATATGAACTTGAAATTTTATGTTTTTAGACTTTTTGGACCTCAATCAACAGAGGTCCTTTAATATTTTCATAGTATTCAATTAATTTTACCAGAGACTTCAATAACCATGTTACTGGTGGCATGACTGAATGCTTAACTATAGTCTGTCCCATTAAAAATGGAAATGAACCTTTGCCTGGTATAAATTAACAAAACGAGGTTGAATAAAAATCAAACTATTTTTGTAAACTAAAAAAAAGTCACCCTCTAGATTTTTCAGGATTTTTCTCTAAAGTTTCTACTTTTCTTGTGAAAGCAAATTTTGATTTCTCTATGGTAAATCTCTGTTGTTTATTTTCCGTAGCCATTGCCGAAGTACTCTTCATTTGAAGATAAACGGAAGAGAGCACGTGTCATGTTTCTAAAATATACATGAGGTTCTTTGGGTCCTTTCATGATTATTTTGCAAAGCTGGATCTATAAGATGTAACAGTTTAGTTGGAAACTTTAAAATAATGAAAAATAAGCAACAAGAACACCGAGTGACATGGAGTATATCTAGAAATTGCACTTACTTTTAAGCTTAATAGAATCCCTATGAATTTCGAAATTGATCTTATTAAACGTCACGAAAAATTCGCATTCTGAAGATTCCTTCATCCAGTTCCGTAGCTCCCATTTTTTACTTCAAAACTCCTGAATGACATGACATCCAACACTTATGATGATCCAGATGTTTTAAACTGATATTCCGTCTCATTAGTAAAACATTGTTCAATTTGTGGAGATATCTGGGTTAGCAAATGAAATATGTAAATGAAACACATCATAATTCAGTATGTTCCAAATCCATAATTCAAGAACGGCCCATCATTTTAGTTGTCCACATCACAATGTTTATAACTCTTGAAAATGGATTCCTGTCCTGACGAAAAAACTCTATTACGTCAACAACAATTTACGAAATACATGACGTAACAAAAATGGCTCGCGCTTTTTATGGATGATTCCAGGTGCGGCATTGGCAGAGGGCGGTTAGGCATATGTAACCTCATACAGATAATTTTAAGCTTTATGATGAATTTGTCCTGATGGCATTTAAATTACTATTTGTATAGTATTACTGGGATTTTGCAACTTAACTATTAAAATTACACTTTCAATTCAGATATTAATAATAAAATTGTTGATAACATTTAAATAATTTTAAACACACTTAATTTCATGAATCTATAACAGTACAATACTTCTTCCATTAATTACATATAATCTTCGTTTTGATTTTATGTTTTTTAACTATTTTATATATTTCTCAGAAATGACTTCCCTATATCTTATCTCGTTATTCAAGACTTCTATAAATCCTACTCTTTTAGCTACAAAATATATATAGTACGCGTTATCTTTTCTCCCGCGAAAAATATGCTATTGTTTTATTCAAATTTTAGGCAGGCTAAAATTATTGAGGACGTCACTCGGTGTTTCTCTTTGACTCGATCTCCCCTTCATATTAACATAATACTAATGTAACACTTTGTGTCTACAAAAAAAAAACAAAAAAGAAAAAAAAACACACACACACACAGACTTATTGTCGCTTATTGAACGCTCCAATTCTAACTTATTCTTAATAGTCTAATTAATATCAAATTACTGCCGGTATTTCTGGACATTTTGTTGAATTGTGAGACGGGAAGTTTAATCTGTATTTACGAGCTGAAAGTGTATAGGCCTACGTTTGGAAGCATGATATTATATTCTTATATTTTACATTTTCCTCGAACGCGAGTAGACCTGTGTTCTCACATTAACGAGGGAGTTAGTTAAAGTAGACACTGTGGTTACAAGCAAACCAATGCTGAACGTATAGTGAATCGGTTCTCCTTTCTATATATTTCTTGTCAGATTTGCATGATAATGTAGATAATGTATGAAAGTTGAACCTACGGAAAATTTTAGCGCACGAATATCGCACCCGAAATAAGAAGGGTAACATATTTTTGTATCCCATCGAACCTGGTCAATATAATTATTTTTGAATAGACGTGATACATACTAATGGACAGAATTCATACAACTACAGAATTATGTAAATTAAACATTAATTAGCTAAGAACCATTTTAAAAGTCTTCTAGCTAGTGAGCTAGTGTTCCCGTTCCCCTACGACGCGCTGCGGTATTCAAGATACGCGCTTGATTGAAAAAGCTTTCCAATCAAATCACTAAATTGCTCTTTTTCTCTTAAAAAGAATATAAAATATGACAGTATATCATGGTAATTATATAAATCTTTGTGAGTTAAAATTTATAAAGCGGTTACTGATATTTTCACTTTAAAAATAATTTATTGGTTTGCTAGTAAAATTGTCTTTTTGACACCAACTTTCTCATTTTCTTTTTAATGATAACATTTAGCTATTGATGAGTAAGTAAATAAGAATAATCAATTTTTTATCATTACCGAGGACATTTCACGCTAATTTTGAGACGAACCCTAAATGACGTCTATATGGGCGCCGCCATTTTGAAATGGACGTCACGTCAGGTTACAATGTAAGTCAACGGGAAAAAATATAATTTTAACATTTTGACAATGTTACTAACTTTATGAAAAAAATGAAAAACATGCCTAGAGATATTGACGTCAGGGTTTACATGACATTAATTAAAATGATTTTACTATTGTATTAAATAAAAAATGGAATATTCAAATTTGATGGGACAGACTATAGTTATCTAAGCAGGAAAAAATTCAAGAGTGTTTATATAAGCCTATAGCTTCATACACAATAAAACTAAACTAAATTCTCAATTTCTGCATAAACTAATAACCTTGTTATGCATTTTAGTACTCACTTTTGTTCATTATTAAACCTCAAGATTGTTATATATAAGAAAGAAAATAGTGAAACAAAACTACACAGTGAATCTGATACTTACTAGTATCTGAAAATGAAAATGTTGCTGTTGTTTCGTTTTTCAATCTTTGATATACATGTATAATGTATTTTAAAGAAGGTACTATGCCACTTATTTTACAACAAATGTTGTTGTTTTTTCCGGCCACTGATGTTAGCTTTTGCATGACTGATATTATTATAATTTAAAAGTTACTCATTCAATGGTGTCATAATGAAACTTGTCGAGTACATGCATCTTATAATAAATAAGAACATTCTTTGAGTCATGACCAGATGGGAAGACATAGAAAGTAAATATAATATCCATATGTTCAAATGGACCTTACAGGAAAACAGAAAAATGACGAAGGTAGGGACAGCAAAATCGGTTCAAAGTCACGAAAAATGCTCCGCCCAAAGACAGCGACAAAGTCTCGAGACAGACTTCAGGTTGATGATGATGTATTAAACGAGGAGGAAGATGATTGGACGAAGGAAAGTTTGTGTATCCGTCTGCTGTGTGAACACGAGGGCGTGAGTCTCATATTTTACTGTTAAAACTGATAATCATTTTATTTCTTATATTGCCATTCAAGTAGTGACTGATATGTTCTTTATTGGCTTTATTGCAATTTTTTCACTACAATCTAATCAAATCAAATGTGTTGCTTTTTGCTCAAGTTTTTTGCCTGCAAGTTGGTATCTCCAAAACTACTGAAGGGGAATGGGTTCATGCACTTTTTTGAGATCATAGTAAGAGGTCACTGTCCAAGGAACATAACTTTAACATGGATTTTGACAGAATTGTGGCCCTTTTTAAACTAGAAAAGTCTACATTATCTAGGTTCTTGTTTAACTATTAAGCACTGAGAATAGTAGAGCACACCGACAGCTCTTGTCTGGAACAGATTTTCTCTGACTGTGGTCCTGATTTTTAGATTTTTTTCTTTTTTATATGCCCGAAAGGGCATATTATGTTATACCCCCTGGCGTCCGTCTGTCTGTCCGTCCGTCCGTCCGTCCGTCCGTCCGTACGTCCGTCCGTCCGTTAGCAATTAGGTTTCCGGAGCATAACTTAAGTTCCATTTGGCCCACAATGTTAAAACTTCATAGGATGATTGTCCATATTGGGTAGAAGACCCCTATTGATTTTGGGGTCAAAAGGTCAAAGGTCAAGGTCACTATTACCTTAAAACTGAAAACGGTTTCCGGAGCATAACTTAAGTTCCATTCAACCCACAATGTTCAAACTTCATAGGATGATTGTCCATACTGGGAAGAAGACCCCTATTGATTTTGGGGTCACAAGGTCAAAGGTCAAGGTCACTATGACCTTGATACTGAAAACAGTTTCCGGAGCATAACTTAAGTTCCAATTGGCCCACAATGTTCAAACTTCATAGGATAATTGTCCATATTGGGTAGAAGACCCCTATTGATTTTGGGGTCAAAATGTCAAAGGTCAAGGTCACTATTACCTTATAACTGAAAACAGTTTCCAGAGCATAACTTAAGTTCCATTCGACCCACAATGTTCAAACTTCATAGGATGATTGTCCATATTGGGAAGAAGACCCCTATTGATTTTGGGGTCAAAAGGTCAAAGGTCAAGGTCACTATGACCTTGATACTGAAAACAGTTTCCGGAGCATAACTTAAGTTCCAATTGGCCCACAATGTTCAAACTACATAGGAGGATTGTCCATATTGGGTAGAAGACCCCTATTGATTTTGGAGTCAAAAGGTCAAAGGTCAAGGTCACTATTACCTTATAACTGAAAACAGTTTCCAGAGCATAACTTAAGTTCCATTCGACCCACAATGTTCAAACTTCATAGGATGATTGTCCATATTGGGAAGAAGACCCCTATTGATTTTGGGGTCACAAGGTCAAAGGTGAAGGTCACTATTACATTGATACTGAAAAATATGTTTCCACGCATAACTTAAGTTCCATTTGACCCACAATGTTCAAACTTCATAGGATGATTGTCCATATTGGGTAGAAGACCCGTGTTGATTTTGGGGTCAAAAGGTCAAAGGTGAAGGTCACTATTACCTTGATACTGAAAACAGTTGCCGGAGCATATGTTAAGTTCCATTTGGCCCACAATGTTCAAACTTCATAGGATGATTGTCCATATTGGGTAGAAGACCCCTATTGATTTTGGGGTCAAAAGGTCAACGGTTAAGGTCATCCTTACTAAGAAAAAAAAAACTTTCGGGCATATAATGCTCCGCCAAGCGGTGCTCTTGTTAAGATAATATATACCCTTGGGTATAATTATGGATATGTTTGTAAATATTAGTAATTGTTGGCCCCAAATCCATTTTCCATGATAAGTTAATTATCTACCAGTAAATTACTTATCTACTGTTATAACCTCATGTTAAAACCAATTTAAAGAAGATTTCTCACAATAAAAATTGACACATTAATATTTTCACTTGTTTATTACAACATTGTAGGGTTGGCATGTATGTGAGGAGATGTACCCACTCGCGTTCAGGACACGAGATCAGATGGAACAATTTCTGACAAAAGCCTCGCCCTATCTCTACAGAATATATACAATCCTGAAACAAGGACCGATCAAGTTGAAATGTTTTGGTCAAGGGAAAGGAGAGGCATTTCAAAAGTGGATCCTACAGGCTAGTATAGGCTTTAAACGGTTTTTAAAAAAATGACAGCCATACACAACCAAAAATTATTACAATTATTATTATTATTATTATTAATATTGTTATTATAAAATAATTTTGTTTCAAAACTTCCCAATATGAACATACCTTATTTTATAAAATGAAAGAAATACTAGGTTTATCAGTGAGATATATTCTATATTCCTCACCGTGTATCACTGTTTGCAAGCACATACTAATTTCCATCTAAAATGCATACAAACAATGATGTGCATTCATAAGATATTGAATACATGTAATTAATAAATTAAAGAACGTATGTAACTCATGAAATGCAGAATGTTTTTATTTAATGAGAAATAAAATATATCTAATACTCACTTCACTTAACATTTATATTTGATGGAAACGAAACCTTTAGAATAGATTAATGTATTTCATTGTAATATTATAAATAAGATGTATTGATCTTTGAAGATATTTATTTTAACAGGAATGAGAAGAAAATGTTAGATTTATGTATTTCATTGATATTTAAAATTGTGTTGGTTTTGATCTATTTGTCCTTTCACATATTGGTTATATTATAAATTAGATGTATTTATCTTTGGCTATATATATTTTAATAGGAATCTGAGGAGAATCTTGACTTTATTGGTTCCATGATGCATCTGAGATCTCATCTTGACACTGAGGAAGCCACAGACTTTGTTAGCTGTCTAGCTAGGTAACATTTTACCTTTTAGTTTATACAAATTTATTTTAGTTCAATTGTGTTGGAAGCGATAAGCTTATTAAAACACTAACTGAAGTTTCTTGCTCAAGGAAACAACGGCTTGCCCCTGATAGGGTTTGAACCCATGCAGTCAGCAATCCTGAGATTACTAGTCTGACCCAAAAACCATTTTGCCATGCCGCCACCCTTTTAACCTTTTAAAATCACTAACAGAAATTGAGGCAGATATATTTATGCTACCAGCATAAAAACAATGGCAGTCTGCCATTTATGCTGTCTGACCAGGCCTTTAAATTTTTGCCACTAAATTTTGTTATGTTGATCTGGAAGTCCATTTAATTTTTATTCTATAAATGATATGAAACTGCGTCCAAAACCAGCTAACGTAAAAAAAAAACTGCTGGTGATACAGGTGCTTAAACTTGCATAAATGTGTATAGGAAGGTGGCATCTGTGGCCAAGTGGTTAAGGTTGTTGACTTGCCATTTACTGCTATGGGTTCAAATACCGCCAAAGAATTTTGATTCTTTCATGTGAGCTTACGGAACATTGGTGGTTTTACTCAGGTGCCAGAAAGGGATCTTCCACCACCAGTAAAGCTAAAAAGTCGCCATATGACCTTTACTGTTTTAGTGCGACATAAAATCCAACCAAAAACAAACAAAAAAACTAAACAAAATACAGTAAAGCATGCACTAAATACCAAGAAATTAACTGTGTCAAATTTGATATTTGTATGGCAGGTGTCGTCTGCCCAGTGGAAAGATTGTCTGGCTCTGTGAGAAACACCAGCACGAGGAGCATGTTGCCAAACTGAGCATTGACTCGCGTGGAAGTTCACATAACTACGTCAGTGTTCTCTTCAATGAAGATAAATTTCTTCTGGAGCAGTTGGAAAAATCAGAGGAATATAAGAGACGTAAAGCAATAAAATCTAATAAGGTAGGTGTGATTTTTTAACCAGTCTGCTGAATTTTTTCACCTTGTTAATTCCTCATTGGTAGATGTAATGACGTAAACGGCTTATTTACTATTTACAGATATCAATTATTCCCATATTCTTTTCTTCACTGGCTCAAAAGTGTCCTGGACCATATTGATAAGTTGAAAAAGTCATGTCAGCATCCCTCCTTCTAGCATTCCTCATGCTTGGCAATTCCATTTCATTATGGCATCCCCTTATTAAGACAATGGCTCCATAAAGAATGAAGTGTTATTAAAAATGACTCAAAGTGCAGAACTTATTTCACAATCAGCTCTAAATAAATCAGTATAAATTGTATCAGAAGAACTGTAAATAAAGGAATCTGGGTTACCATTGCTTAATTCTTAGCTTGCTGGAACTGCAAGTGATAAACCTTTGCCAGTATGTAGCTGGGCCAGTCTGCAATCTAACTTGGATGTATACTGTTGGTAGCTTAATTTATATATATTTTTATATTGAAACCCCTAAAATTTTAAATGGACTGTTCAAAATTTAAAGATGGGCAAAACCATTTTCGCAAGTTCAGGTTAAGGAATAGAGGAAATTTTTATATAACACATTGTTTTATTTGATATTGATCAGGTGGCACCAAATTTACCAAAGCCACCACCAATACCAATGTTCATGCCGGCTCAACCAATTCCTGTACCGGAACCTGACAAGAAACCAACTCCAAAATCATCACCAAGGGCGTCTCCAAGGTCGTCCCCAGTACCACCAAAAACAGATGATAAGAGCAAAGCCAAGTCGGAAACTGTTGATAAAGGTATGTACCTTTCTTTACAGCAATAATTGTCAATATATGTGTACCTTTCTTAGAATATTTCTTCACCATCCATATCTATGTTTTCATTAATTAAAACATATTTCATGTGCAGCTCATTTCTTACCAGTAGTGCAGTGATACTATTTAAAATGAGGAGTGCATTGCATTGATTAACATGTAAACATATTAAAGATTACGTTTTACATTTGAAAAGAAACATTTTGAAATGTAACATATAGTTACATTACATTACATTTTGAAATTATCTGGTTACCCAAATGTTACAGTACATTTTGCAATTTTCTGGTTACCCAAATGTTACGTTACATTTTGAAATTTTCTGGTTACCCTATTGTTAAATTACATTTTGCAATTTTCTTGTTACCCTAATGTTACATTTTGCAATTTTCTGGTTACCCTATTCGCATTACATTTTGAAATTTTCTGGTTACCCTAATGTTACATTACATTTTGTAATTTTCTGGTTACACTATTGTTAAATTACATTTTGCAATTTTCTGGTTACCCTATTGTTACATTACATTTTGAAATTTTTCCTGTTATTCACCCTGTTCTATTGTAACATTACTGGTTGGGGAGATAACTTCGGCTGGTTGATAAACTCGGCTTTTTATAATTAAATCGAGTTATCAAAATTTTTAATCTAATCGAGCTCACCATCTCATACTATCGCTGGAATTCGACAATATCTGGAAATTTTGTCAAGTTTGGTAAGATATTTAAAAAATAACACACACTTTTACCTGTTTGTTTACAAAACATGCCTATAAAAAGTACGGGAATCCCATTGTTGTGCGCATGTGCAGCAGATGCTCATTTTGAGACCCGCACAGGGGTACTTTTATATATTGACCGACAACCGGTAAAGGTGACGACATTTACGTATACATTTTGTTGATGAAATTCAGACTCACTTTTGTCTTGCTAACTCAGAAAAAAGGCTGATTACACAATTGTAATCTTTAAGTGGAATGGATTGAAAGACTGATGTTAAATGCTCCTTTTATATGTTAATTTTATTTGTAAGTTGAATACCACTAAATTAATTTCTTCTTCACTCTGTTAAGCTAAGCAAAAATAAATTTGAATCACTAATTCTTTTACTACATATTTCGTTATACGTAAATAAATGATAATGCATGTGTTTTTACGTAAAAATGATTTATATGTTACATAGTAGGTTGCATATAAATATCGTGTTGTCATAGGTATACATTATACTAACGTAATGCTCAACAATTTTGGTAGCAAATATTTTCTATTTGACATAAATGAACAGCAAAGAAATAATAAAATGTCTAAACATGTTATTTTACGTTTTAACTTACTCATTTAAGTAGAAAAACAAAGAGCCGGAATTATCTATTCGCGCGCGGTAAAAATATCCTTTTTACGTACCTCTTCCAGGGCCTCTCAAAATTACCCGTTATGTTTCTAAATATAACTTTTATGGTGATACCGGAAAATTGAAGAGCTGAAGTTTATTATGGTGCAAGATTCATCAGAATACGTAAACAAATAAATGAAATATGCCCCCAAAACACTGATTTTCGGCCGAGTTTATCTCCCAAACCAGTACAGTTAATAATTTTCTGGTTACCCGAATCTTAATAATTACATAAATTACATTTTGAAATGTCATGATTACCCTAATGTTACATTACAATTTGAAATTTTCTGGTTACACTGTTACTACACTGTCTCAGTACTACATATACAAATGTAATTGATAATTCCTTTATTATAACATTACATACATACAGTAAACACACATACATGTACAGTAAACCAGAATTTGTACCATCTAGTGAGAAAACATTGTTAAATTGAAAACTCCCTAAAAAACTATTGTGATTTTCCAAATTCAAAGCAGAAAAGAATCAAGTTCAATTTCATGAAATGAAGCTTTAAAAGTTATTTCACTCTTGTAACTTTTAATATTGTAAGTTAGAGGTTTAAAGGTAAATTCATTTTACTGCTGTAAATTTATTGTTGGTTTCTTTATTGTTTTATGCTCAAAGTTTTAAATGGAATCACTGTATTGAGATATTAAAGTAACTTTATCACATATTTTTAATAGTTGTAGACACTGAATGCACACATTGTTTATTTACTAACCTTCCCATTTTATCATTTGGGGAGTTAGACAAAAAAGATAATACCCACCTCTGTCACCTCTGTTTTCTTTCTCATCCCTGCTGCAGTTTAAGGACATTTTTCCCAATCTGAAACTGATAAATGCCTGCCTGATTGCTCAGTGAATTATGAAATCAAAATCTTACAAAGAGAAATTGAAAAAAAAATCTTTAAGAAATATTTCACTCCTTTGGCTAAAAAATCTACAAAGGAAGACCTTCATTCCTAACTTCTGTCAAATTTACATTTTGTAGCATAATAATGTTTGCTTTATTGGAAAGGTTAGTTACTTGGAAAAAATTAGCATTTGAAAATAATGGCATGATTTTTTTTCTATAAAAATGTCCTTAATTTTGCCTGATTATCTCAAGCCTATCACTGTAACACTTTATGCCCCACACTTCCCAACCATAGCTATCCACACATTATGATTATTATTTATTGTACCTAAGCTAGACAGTCCTTTCATTTCTTGAACAAGCTGGGTGGGATGATAGCTTTATCAGAAGTAGGGTAAATTTATGTATATAGATAAAAAGGTTTCTATATAAGGTCAACTGTTGGTATAGCCGATATACGGCTTGCAGTCAATGTCTTCCAATATGCACAATTTTTTGGTCACATGGAGTTGTCTCCTCTTACATGTCATTATTATTATTATGTATTACAAACAATAGACCCTAACAGTTTTGATTGATTCTAAAAGTTGTACTGATTCTGAATACCAGAACATGATTTTCAATTATGTGAACCTTTAAATACAACAATGGTGTATAATTATATAGCTAGTATATATTGAAAATTGTGAAATAATGCATTGAGGGGCATGCATTTAACACCTCCTCCTATGTAAAGGCCAGAAAGTCAACATATATGCTGAACCATGATGGTGTGAGTTTAAATTTGCTTCAAAACAAGACTTAAAACTTGAATAAGGATAAAAGACAAAATTTATTTCCTGGAAATATTTAAATGGGCTCTCGGCAGATTGTCCTCCTCTTTGAGAAGATAGGTCAGTCCCTTTATTTCATGGAGGTGTACTTGGCTTTTTCCTCCTCACATCATAAAGCTTGTTTGTGTGATTTAAAGCTTAATTAAAAAAAAAGAAATACTATAAAAAGGAGACAAAACTAAGGAAAAAGACAAATTATTGGGGTTTAATTGGGTTCTGGGTGTTTTGTCTTATTGCTTTTTTTTAGCACTTAGGTATGCCCCACGTACTTCTCTATAACCCCCTCTTAATCTTTTATAATTATCTTGATGTGGTTTTTCATAATTTCAGTTTTTAGATTTAATCTTAATGCAATAACTTTGAATTGCTGTCATTCAAGTGTATAAAAAGATAGTTCTTAAAATAGACATGGCACAAAAGAATAAATGTACAATTAGGTGCAATTGATTGCTGCTCTTAAGTCCATGATTTGTGATAATGAATCATAATTATAAAAAAAGTTTAAATCCTGAGGTGTGGCTTCTTTCAGTAGTTTTATTTTGCTTTCTCTTTAGACAAGTCTAACTCCCCTGAAAAATCATCCAATCAAAACAAAGAATCATCCAGCAAAGGCGGGGCTTCAAATTCATCAGACAATAAAGGTTTAACTCCAAGACCTCCCTCAAAACCATCATCAGCCAATCAAACGACCAGAAAAAGTTCAGCCACACAGAAGCCACTCCCACCTGTGCCACCTATTGGATCAGGAGAATCAGACAAAGGGAAGTCACCCAAGTCGTCATCTTCTCGACAACCTTCACTGAAATCTCTTGGCACAACTGCAGATTTGGTGGCAAATAGCGGTAAAAGAATGACTGAAAGTAAAGGAAATTCAAAAAACAATGAAAGTAAAGGAAATCCTAAAAGTAAAGCATGTATTATAACTTAATGATTAGTAATTAGGATATGATGAATATTAATGTACTTGTTTTTGAATATTCATGATTTTTTGACCTGCTGAATATTTATTGAGGCAATATGCAATTACAAGTTTTTTGTATAATTATAATATTGATGTAGTAATTTTTTAATATTCAGCATTTTGACATTTACACATTTTATTTCTTGCAACAAAAAATGTTCTATTGTATTGATTTTTACATGATGAAAAATCACAAACCAACACAGTTTATCAAAACATGTTTTGCTTATATTAAATAAGCATTTTAGAAGAAGTATCAGAGAATTTGTAAAACACAGTATAAAGCTGTAATCAGGTTCACACATCACCCAGCTCTTGTGTTTTTAATGACACCAGATCAGATATTGTTTCATTATTGTTTTATGTAATTAATAATATATAGAAGATAGTTTAAAACCATCAAAGCCATATACTTTTCCATTTTTTGGACAAAACAAGGTTGTACATTGTATTATCAAATATGTAAACTTTTTTCAGATAACATTTTTCTCGTAAGAATTGATGAAAGAAAATGTTTATATATGCATTTAAAGATTTTTTTTCTTGTCTTGATCATTTTAAGTTGGGGTAGGCATACATGTACTGTTCTTTGTCCTGTTTGTACATCTGTTGGTTTCTCTGCAGAGAATAATCAGTATTCTTAACTATTGCACGTCTTCATTCTATTACTGAGTCTTAACCTTTACCCATCTTGATGTAACTACATCTACCTATGTGACCAGTGAAAACCAAAATCAGCCAGCACAATTCTTTGCCGTCTGATCATGGTCTGCAAAGCACTGTTTGATACTCAGTCACAGACTCCTCCTATTTTGTTAATATGCAGACAACCTTTCTTAGAAAGGTCAGATAAGAGGTCATATTGGAATGAAATACACATTTGCAAACTCCTCCTACTTTGGTAATACCCCTAATAAATATGCATACAAC